ACAACATTCACTGAATTCAGCTCTGAGCCAGGCAGTCCTGAGCATTGTTGCATTATCTCAAAAAAAAAAAAAAAAAAAAAAAAATCAAAACCTCTCACCATGCATCTCCTTGATTGACCCTACCCCCACAAAGAACAGGTCTTGCCCCCTCTGATGGTCAGGTACTGCAGCCTGTCCTAGGCTCACACTGTGGTCATCTAAACACCCTCACCTAGCTTCTCCAGTTGGAGTTCCTGACCCAGGCATGTGACCAGTAGGCCCTGCCACAAAATAAAGGCTGGGAGGAGGAATGAGGACTGATGTGGAGCTGGTATGCTCGATGCTTTACAAACTCAGTAACCCCTCACAGTCACCGAGGAAGCTTATCCCTTTTACACACAAGGCCCAGGACACAAGGCTGTGTCCCTCTGACTGTTGAGTCCTCACTGGCCAGCATGGGACACTCTGGACAGTGGAAGGCTGTGTCCTAGGGGGCCCCTGAACAAACACAAACAGGACCACCTAGATTAATTTCTAGCTCACAGAGCACCCAGTTCAGCAGAGCCCCCGAGGACTGTCAAAGTCCAGGCCCCTTTCTGGCCTTTGTGAGACAGGGTCCTATTTTCTTTCCCCAAGAAGAGCTCTCCTTTCCTGGGTCACAGACCCTTTGAAAGCTCCCATGCTCCCCAGAAAAATGCACTTGTACTCGCTACCTCAGGGAGCCACAGAAGCCCTGCAGCCTGTTGGTTGCAAAGGCCCCAGGCGGCAGAGAGCCGTGTTCATCAGGTGTGCCCCCACTGCAGCAGGAAGGGGCCCCAGTGTCACTGTCCAAGAAACGGAGAAGGGCAGCTCTTCCTAAAGCCGGTTTATTGGGCAGCTTAAGGTGCAGCAGCCTTCTTTGGCCACAACTCAGCCAGGAGTGGACCAAGCAGAACGGCTGCTCTAGGACTCTGTGCCTGTCCTGCAGGGCCGGGCTGCCCTCTGGAAAGGGCACCTACACAGAAGCACAAATCTCCGTCACCAAGATGAGCTTCATCCATGTGGCAGCTGCTGCCCACAACACCACGGCTGCTGGCAAAGGCCCTGCGGCAGGCCTGGGGCTGCTGAGCCCATCAAGGCAAAGGCCACTCTGGCGGCACAAGTTGCAGGCTCCATGGCCAAAGAGTAGACAGAGACACTGACATGGTGTGGACAGCTGGACCAGGCCTCTCCAGGGTGCTCAGGCTTGGGCAGAGGTGGACTCTCTGGGGAACAAGGAAGGGGGTGTAGCTTCCCGAGCGCGAGAACCCTCTTGGGCCCTGGTTGCTCTGGGGGGATGAGGGAGGAGGCCTGGTTGGGGCTGGCCTGGGCGGGCCTGGCAGTTTAGAAGTCTAAAGGCAGGCAGCAGCGGGCAGCTGCAGTCACAGAAGCTCACTGCCCAAGTTGCTTTTGCTTTTCTTACGCTTGGCCTTGGTGAAGGGGATGTCGAGGGACTCGAGGCGGAAGGGCCGGGGCTGGGGCATTTCAGGGGCCTGGCTGGGTGGGATGACAGAGTTGCTGCTGAGCTGGGAGCTGAGGCCTGGCGACGAGCTGTGATGTGCTGTGGAGAAGACGCAGAGGATGCTGATGAGCCCGGAGAGCAGGGGTGGAGAAATACACAAAGAGTTGCTTTTTATTGATACTTTATCACAAGCTCTGTAGGCTTTGCTTTAGTTTTTTTTTGTTGTTTTGTCTTGTTTTGTCTGTTGAGAAAGGATCTCACTATGTAGCCCAGGCTGGACTTGAATTCTGGGCAACCTTCCTGCCTCAGCCTCCTGAGTGCTGGGATTACAGACGAACACCACCATGCCTGGCTTGCTTTTAATTTTTGTGTCGGTTTGGTTTCTGTTTTTTTGTTTTTTTTTTGAGGCAGGGTCTCACTATATAGCCCAGGCTGGTCTTGAACTTGTGGTGTTCCTCCCGCCTCAGCCTCCCAAGTGCTGAGATTGTAGGCATGTGCCACCATGCTAATCTATTGCCTTTAGTTTTAAAAGCATAAGAATTGAACAGTTTTCGATCCTTGAATATGGTTTTTTGCTTCTGAGGCTCTTCCTGTCCCATCCCACCCCTGGTTCAGCAGATGAAGTCACCATCCAGTTTGGGGAAAGTCACCATACTGGCCTCTGAGGAAGCCAGGTAGGAGCTGGTCAGACCCACTCATGTGACCCACAAGGGAGCCCTCTTGTGTGTTGGGGAGGACGAGTCAAACACTAGCTCTTCCCGAGGACACAGGGAATCAGGAGACTGGACTGGGAACTTGCTGTGCACCAGGCTCTGCATGGGTGTTTCCTATCTAATCCTGAGAGGCAGGTGTCACCTCCTCATCTTATAGCTGTGGAAAATGAGGCTCCTCGAGGGAGTGGGGTTTTTGAGCCCACATCTCCCAGCTGTGGTGGGGGAGTGCAGGTGCACAGGGCACTCACCGAGGCTCTTCATGGCGTCTGTGCTGAGGATCTGGCTGGCCCGTTTGGACCGGAAGTAGTTACTGGCAATGTTTTCGCTGTCACTCCGACTAAGCATCAGCTTGTAGCGGTCTTCTTCCTGCTGAGATTCCAGATCCCCTTGAGAAAAGTCCCTAATCTGGGCCGCTGGCCAGGAACTCAGCACCTCCAGAGGCCTGGTCGCCGGGGCTGCGCTGGGCCTCCCCCGGGCTGTGACACAGGGCTGCAGCAGTCACTGCTACAGAACCTGGACCCCCAGTAACATCCCAGGCAGCTGCAGACAACTAGGAGTCCCAAGGGGCATGGGTGATGCCAAATACCCCAAATCTCACGACACAGTCACAGCAGAGGTGACGCAGCTCTCAGCTCACAGAGCTGGTGCTCTGGCCTTTCTGTCACCCGGGCTGTTATTTTCCTCTGCTAGTACAGACTGTGTTCCCACACTGAACCTCTTCCTTCAGGAACCACCTTCTCCCATCAGACATGGTCCTGGTGAGACGATCACTCATGTGCCCTGAACTGCAGGGCAGGACATGTGACCGACATGCACCAGTCACAGAGCTGCATTTCCTTTCCCTGAACACAGCATTTGGTCCAGGAGTAGCTCATGACCCAGGCAGAGTCAAAAAGGACCCTTCCACGGGCTTTGGTGTGAGAACGCTTTGTGGGAATGGGTGTCGTTTCCTTTGGTGTCTCAAGTGCCATCTTCTGCACCATGTGAAGAAGCCCCGAAGTTAGCATACCAAGGGAGGCACATAAACCTGTCTGATAGGAACCAATGAATTCCTATTTTGCTTGCTTTATCTGCCTTGGTGTCTGTCCCTTGGAACTGTAAGTGTCCTGATATACCCCTCTGTGACCCAGGTCAATTTGTTTGCTTGTTTGTTTCCTTGCAGCCACATCTTTCCCTTTTTTTATAAATTGAAGTCATCAGATCAGCCAGCCCAGCTTTACAGCAGCGTAGGACACTGCTTGCAGCCACCCCACATTCCTCAAGCAGAGACGCCCAGCTGGAATGCCCTAACCTGTGAGTGGCTTTGCATGCTGTAAAGGTACGAGCTATGTGGGTCTTTTGAAATGTCTATAATGGTCAGAGGCAGGGATCAGCAAATTACAGCTAAGGGGCCAAATCTGGCTTGCAGCTTGTTTTTGTAAATAGAGTCTTACTGGAACATGCTGCTTTGTAAATGAAGTTTTGCGGGAGTGTGCCACTCATTTCCGTATTCTCTATTCCTGGTTTTGTGCCACAACAGCAGAGGTGAGTGGTCTGATGGAGATCATATGGCCTAAAATATTTACTGCTGGGTGGGTCCTTTTCAGAAAAGGTTTTCTGGCCCCTGCTTTAAGGATACACATTTCTGACGTGCCACAGGATGTGGGAGACATGAAAATTAAGTGACTTTAGAATTTTAATAACTGATTTTGGGGACCCTTTTGGTCCAAGGATACCAGCTGGGACCCAGGAAACTAGAATGTGCTCTTTGTCCTCTGGGTTTGAGGTTGCAAGTCTCTGTCACCAACGAGACAAGCCGCCTTGAGTCACCTACCTTCCCTCTGGTCTTCTAGAAGTGTCAGTGCCTTAACTGAGGGCCAGAGTGGGCCGAGGGTCCAGGGCCAACTACAGAACAGGGTCCAGGCTCACCCGTGCTGCAACCCTCAGGCAGGATAAAGGAGCCCAGCTCCCTGCGGCAACGAGGACCCACTACGCTTTGGGGACAGAGTCCCTGCTCCCCACCCCTGCCTCCCCCTCAGCCTTACCGTGTTTGGCTCTCCGCTGTCGATGGCAGAGGTTTTGCGGATTGGCTTGGTCTGTGGCCCAGTTGGAACTGCTATGGGAAAAGAGAGGCTGAAGCACGGGACGGGAGGTGCAGGTGGACCACGGCGCTGTCCCAGAGGGAGTCAGGCCTGGCTCGGGGCTGGAAACAGGAAGGACACTTCCCAGCCCGAACAAGGGACAGCCTCGGAAAACGGACAACAGGAGGGCTCAGGTGCTAGAGAAACCACCTTCAACCCCACCTCTGCTCCCCTGCCAGGCAGAACAGCTGGAGTTTCAACAGGATGTGTCAGTGGCCACTACAAATGTCAGAGATGCAGGGCCTGGGTGAACACCAATGGGGGAGGACTGCTGGGGGGCCCTGGAAGGATGCAAGAGCATGTCACTTCCTGGCTGCATAGCCAGGTCTGTGGCTAAAGGCAAATCCACAACAAATATGACAAGAGAGGGAGGTGAGTCTTTGAGGTCATCTTATCCAACCCTTTCTTTGTCACAAGTCCAGAGAGGGACAGTGATCATCATAGAGTCACACGAGGTCAGCAGCCAAAGCAGAGACCTGAATCCTGAACAGCTGGTTTCTCTCTTTGGTCCTACAACTCACTGCTGTGACTGACCCTATGAGAGGCAGTTTCCTCGGATGTAACTAGGTGTCATAATCGTTAGCCTACAGAGCTGTTGTAGGCAGGAAGAGCTATGACTCTCATTGATAATGAAACACTTGCTGAGCACCGGGCAGCGCTAAGGTATTTGGTGTCTGAGAACGTTGCAAGCCACACAGAAACTGCAGAGATGTTGTTACTGATCTCTGTAACATACGAGGATGCAGAGCCCCAAGGAGGTCACAGAATAATGCAGCCAGAACCCAGCCTACGTCTGATTGTTTGCAAAACACAGCACTTATCCAGGCCCCCAGCATGTCAGACACCCAGGTCACACATTTGCTGCCCACAGCCTGCAGGGAATGGCCAGGCTCCCTGTCCCTCTGGGAACGACACACGTGAGGCAAGGGCAATCAAGCTCCTGACCTACTGGGAGGCTGGTTTTTACGATGATGGGCTCAGGGATCTTCCAGGAGCCACTGTCCTCATCCCAGCTTGACTCGCGCCTGATCTTCTCCAGGTTGCTATAGTTGCAATCCCTGCGGATCAGGGGCTGCACCTGCTCCAGGAGCTGCTGGAGGAGCATGGAGTCACGCTCCTGCCGCCGGATGGTGGCCAGGTAGTCGATCTTCTCCAGCTCGAACTCCGACTGCAGGTCTTTGATCTCCACCTCTGCTGCCCGAAGCTGAAAGCCAAGAAGGCAAGGGGACCAAGAGAAGGAGAAGGGGGAAGGGAGGAGGGGGAAGAGGAAGTAAAAAGAATCAAGATGTGTCATGTATCGGTACCAACTCTTCATGATGGACATAATCATTATGTACTGCAAACATGTACTAATAAAAAAAATTTTTATGCCTGCTGGCTCCCGGAGGGTGGGCCATGCGGTGGCGAGCACTATTGCGCCGCCGCTCAATTGAGATCTATCATGACACAGAGAAACAGTGACACAATTGGCCCACCATGCACCGACTGCAGTTGCCCACCCACGAATGTGTGTGAATCATTCAAACTTTGAACAACCCCTGGGAATACATGCCATACAATGGGCCACTCTTGCTCCTGCCATTGGGAACCAGAAAGGTCCAGAGCCAGAGGAGGAGCAGCTGCTGAACAAGGACTCAGAGAGCATGAGAATGCAGACTAAGCCCACGGAGTCAGAGGTCCCGTGGACTGGGGTCATGAAAGCCGCTCGGAAGCTGTAAACCAGGAGGACCTTGCACAATACCTGCAGAGACTCATTGGAAGCCATTCTTCCCCTGACAGTACAGGCTGTGGTGGAGCTCCGGAGAAGTCTGCAGCAGGATTCCTGCTGCCTGTGCTGACAGTTGGGGAGAGGACACTAACTGGTTGTGGGGTCCCAAAGCAATGGGAAGCTGGACAGAAAAAGCTACAAAGAATGGCTTTCACCCCAGATAGCTCACTTGAGATGTTAGTAAGAATTGCCTCCTCAGTACTCTATAGCCATGATGAGGAGGAGGCCAAGGAGAGAAAACAAAGAGACTGAGAAAAAGCAGCTGCTTTTGCTGAACCACTAAGAGAAACAGATCCCAGGTCTGATTCCCGGGGCTCCAAGAAGAACTGGACAACTGCATTCATCTGCTACCACTGTTAAAAGCCAGGCCACCTCAAGAGGAACTGCCCTAAGAGGCCCCATGGGCCATGCCCTGGATGCAAAGGAGACCACTGGAGATCGGTCTGCCCTCTGAGGTGGAGGCCCCAGAGCTCAGACCCATGCTACCAGTTAGTCCAACAGGAATGAGAAGGCTTGGGGCATGCTCTGCCTTCTCCCTCTGGCCAGACGGTCATCTCCATCGAGGAGCCCTGGGTAATCATGACTATGGAGGAACAAGAAAACAGCCTGTTGCTAGACACAGGTGCAAGTCTCTCGGTCCTTCTTTTCAATCCTGGCCTTCCTTCCAGCCATCATACCTCAGTGAAAGGAGTCACTGGTGAGGAGGTAATATGCTATTTTTGACAACCCTTAGGCTGTAACTACTTATTAGATCCTTCTTGCATATCTCTGTCTTCCTGAGAAACCACTTTGAAGATACCACCACGTATTACAGCAGCCATTGATATTTTCCTACTAATCTATCCATAACTGTGTAAAGTTTGTAATGTTCCTATCCTATTTCATAAATGGATGTCTGTTTATTATTATGTGTTTCCTACAACAACCATTGAGAATAGTTAATGATTTTTCAATAGGTCACTCATGTACAGCTCTATTTATTTTCTTTAGAAGCCACTTTGAAGATACCAAAGTAGAGTACAACAACTCTTGATAATCTCCTACCTCTTTTGTCTGTAACTCACTATTATTTGTCTATTTGTTTTCCTGAGAAACTATTTTGTAGATAATAATATGTAAAACGATAACCATTGATAATTTCCTACCATTTTATCTGTAATTTGCTAAGTCCCCCCTATTATTATGTTATCCTTCTTTTATTCTTTAAAATAAAAAAAAATCTTAAAAAAAAATCTAAAAAAATTTTTAAACTTGCAAACAAAAAAAAAAGAAAGAAGGCTATTACGGTTTCCATCTAGTTCTCCCCAGAACCCTCATGCACTCATGGGTGAGGCTGTTGCAAGGTGACCTGATTGCAAGGGTTAATAGCTGGCTTGCTGGAGGCGGGGTCTGGCCGGAAGAGGTGGGTCACTGGGGGCGTGGCCTGGATGGATTTATCTCCCTCCCCACTCCTCCCTCGACTCTGTTTCCTGTGTGCCCTGCCTTGAGCAGCTATTCCTTTGCCATGCCCCTCTGCCATGCCATCCTGTGTTGGTGCCAGCCAACTATGGACTAGAATGTGAGCCAAAGTAAAACTCTCCTTTTATTTGTGTCGGCTATTGTGTCTCAGCAATGAATAAAGCCACTGCAAAAGCCACTGCGGCCACTCATCACCTGCTCATGGTCCACTCAGCCATCCACTCCCGTTGCCACCATCCAGCCAGCCCCTGCATCCATCCATCCTCCTCCCCTGTCGCCCATGGCTCCTTCCACCCATCCACTCGCTCTCCCTCCCACCCATCCACGCAGGGTGCAGCGAGCGCTTAGTGTGCCCACAGCTGCAGCCTCCCAAGTAGTTGGGACTAAAGCCGCATGCTGCTGCACCGGGCACATCATTTGTATTGAGATATACTTCACAGGTCACATGCAATCCACCCATGTAAAGTGTAAAATTCAGTGGTTCTAGTATCTCCACAAAGTTATGCAATCATCACCACAATCAATTTTAGAAAAAAAACCCCATTCCCATTTGCAGTCATTTTCTATTTCTTCCCAACCTCAGCCCTAGACAACCTAATCTCTCTATAGATCTATACAGATCTGCCTCTTCAGGGCATTTCATATAAATGGACGCATACAGTATGCAGTCTTTTGTGTCTGGCTTCTTTCACTTAGCATAATGTTTTCGAGGTTCATCTGTGTTACACCATATATCAGCACTCCATTCCTTCCTACTGCCAAGTAATATTCCACTGTATGGCTGTACCACACTTTGTTTCCATTCATGCATGTTTCCACGTTGGGGCTATTATGAATAATGATGCTACAAGCCACGTATAAGGGTTTGTGGGATTTTGTTCAGTACTAGGAATCACAGGGCCTTACACATGCTAGGCAAGCATTCTATCAATGAGCTGGCCCAGCCCGAGTATGAATTGTTTTGTTGTTCCCATGAACTACATCCCTGACAATTTTTATTTTTCATTTGGATACAGGGTCTTGCTAAAATGCTGAATTGCCCAGCTGGGCTCAAACTTGTGATACTCCTGTCTCGGCCTTCTAGAGTGCTATGATTACTAGTATTTTTAAAGTAGAACTGTTCTTTAAATTTTATTTGTATATTGTTCATTTCAAGTGTACAAAAATACAACTGATTTTTGCTTATTGATCTGGTATCATGAAACTTCATTTATCATGAACTCATTTATCATGAACATGGTATCATTAACTCATTTATTATTTGGTTTTGTGTTTTTTGGAGTGTTGAGGATTGAACCCAAGGCCTTATAAATGTGAGGCAAATGCCCTACCACTGAGCTACATTCTCAGCCCTTTTTTTTTTTTTTCCCCTCAGCCCTTTTTTAAAAAGTGGGTCCCTTCGGATATTCTCTATGTGTGTATCTGCAAATAAAGAATTTTATCTCCTTCCCAGTCAAGAGGCCTTTTATCTGATTTTCTTGCCTAACTATCCTGGTTAGAACCCTCGGTCCAGTGTTGAATAGGAGTGGTGAGAATGGACATCCGTTTCCTGTTTCTGGTCTTATGGGGACAGCATTTGCTTTAAATATAATGACTCTTTTACACTAGATATAGTGAAAGGGCCGGGGATATAGCTCAGTGGCATAAGCGCCTGCCTGGCAAGCACAAGGTCCAGAGTTTGATTGCTGGTACCAATAAATAAATAAAATGAAAGCTGCAGATTTTGCATAAATGAGCTTTATCAGGCTGAAGTATTTCCCTTTTTGTTTATTTAGTGTTGTCATCCTGACAAATGTTGAATTCTACCCAATGCTTTTCTGCAGCTCTCAAGATGACTACATGCTGTCTGTCTTTTATTCTACTAACATGGTGAATGACATGATTTTTGAATGCTAAACCAACCTTGTATTGCTAGGATAAATCCCACTTCAGCGTGGAGTAAATCTTTTTTCTATGTTGTTGGATTCAGTTTGTTCATACCTAGTGCAGCTTGTTTTGTATCTATAGTCATAAGAAATATTAGTCTGTAGTTTTCTTATTTCTCAGTGTGGTTTTGGTACCCAGGTAATACTGGCCCCACAGAATGAATTGAGAAGTATTCTCTTCTAATTCTCAATGATTTTAAAATGCCTTTTTAAACCAAAAAGCTTCATTTTGCAAACAAAACTCCGTTAGAAAATATAATGGAAGAGGATATACGCCATATAAGAAAGCAAACAAAATACCTACAAATGAAACTAACAAAATAGGTCCAAAACCCAAGTGAGGGAATCTACAAAACACTTTTGTATGACACAAAAATTGATTTGAACCACCAGAATGATATACCATGTTCCTGGAGAGGAACATCCAACCTCATGTAAGAATCAATTCTCCCAAGCTTATTTATAAATATAATGTAACTCCCTCAAAAAGTCCATCTTTTTTTCTTCATTCTTTTTTCTTTTGACATACTCAATTATTTATAAATTCATATAAAAAGTAAGAAAGAATATGCAGGAAAAACTTGGAAAAGAACATCATTGATAGAGAATTAACCATATGGGATTATAAAACATAAAGTCAAGTGCAAGGACACATGACTGTAATCCCAGAGACTCAGGAGGCTGAAGCAGGAGGATCGCAAGGTCAAGGTCAGCCTGGGCAATTTAGGGAGACCCTGTCTCAAAATAAAAACTAAAATAAAGCCTGTTTCATACAATGTGGTTGGCACACATGTGTGATAGTCAGAACAAGAGAAGTGAGTGGAAAATCCAGAAAAAGATCCAGATGCACTCAGAAATTCCATATTGGCTAAGGCCAGCACGTTAAATTGGTGGAAAATAAATGGACTTTTTGCAAAGTGGTGACTAGTATACATGGATGGCCATGTGAAAGAAGATAATATCAAATCAGCAACTCACACATGCACCAGGGTAAGTTCTGAGTGGATCAGATACTTAAATTTTTAAAAGAACAAGTTCTAGATAAAAACATGAGTGAACTTTCTTAACTATGATTCACTATAAGCAGAAAAAACCACAATTTGTCAACTTTCTAAATTTTTATATGGCAAATACCATAAAGCATAGCAAAACACAAATGAAAAATTGGGGGGGGAATCTGCAACCTATAACAGACCACAAGAGTTAATGTCCCTAAATATATAAAGAACTTCTGTAAATACAGAACAGAAAGACCAACCACCCTAGTAGAAAAATGGGAAAGGGCTGGGGATATAGCTCAGTGGTATAGTACCTGCCTGGCAAGCACAAGGTCCCAAGTTCGACTCTTGGTACCAAAGAAACAAAATAACAAAAACAAAACAAAACAAAACAAAAAGCAAAAAGAAAGGAAAAAATGGGCAAAAGATGTAAACACAGTTCAGAGAGAAGAAACTGCAAATGCTCCCAAAACATATGAGAAAATGTCCAATATTGCCATAATAATAAAAATCCGTATTAAAACTACACTGAGAGATTCTCATCTCAGTTATCTGAATATACTTTGTTGTCAAGGCTGTGAGAAAGCACACCATGGGAATGCAAGATAAAGTGCTCTCTCTGGAGAGAAAGTTGGCAAAATCCCACAGAATCACAGAAGCATTTACCTTTCAACCCAGGATTCTAGGTTCAAGGAATTCAATTCCCAACACCAAAAAAGGGAGAGGGGACCAAACCTATATAATTTTTATGTTAATTGCTACATAAACTAAATTTATGGACCCCAGAACACCTGGTGATGCTCAGCTAACATAAGAATGTTTAATGGGCCTCCTTATTCTCTCAATTTTTTCGATACAGAGAATTGAACTCAAGACCTTGTGCTTACCAGGCAGGCACTTGTGCTGCAGAGCTAAATCCCTCACCCATTCCTTATTCTTTAATTCTATGCATGAATTAAACCCAAAACAGTAGTCAGCTGTGAAGTTTAACTTGCAGGAAGTGATAACATTAGTAACCAACTCCGAGGCCAAGGTCTTTGGTGATGTTTCAGCCAGAGAAGAGAAAGGAGACATGGCCCTAGGTGACAAAGACCCTACTCAGCATGCAGCCTTCCCAGCCCTGTCCCACAGCACCGCCTGTCCCTCCCTATAAAAGACTTGAATATACTGAATTCTCTAAGATGGCTTCTTAGGGGAAGAGCAACTCTCCTCATCTTTCAAGGTGTCAGCCCTCAAGCAAAGCTGACTTCCCACCAACTCACATCTCCTGAATATTGGCTTTTGGGTGGCACTGTTATGGTTTGTATCTAGATGTTCCCCTCAAAGCCTCATGCGGTCACAGGTGGGGCTTTTTCATAGGTGGCTGGATCTAGAGTATGCTGGGATTGATTCATGGTGGAATGCTAGGATCAAGGATTAAGGGTGTAAGTGCTACCTACCCTAAGGGTGGGGAGCCTGGATAAGACATGAGGGATAGAGCTATGGTTATCCCTTATTGCTTTTGCTACCTTCTGTCCACCATGAACTGTTTCTCCTCTTACACTGCCTTGGATCCAACCAATTATGGACTGAAACCTCTATGAACTGTAAACCAAATAAACTTTTCCCTCTTTAACTTTGGGTGTTTGAGTATTTTGCCCCAGCAATGAGAAAAAAGTAACTAAGAGAGAATTTGGTACCAGGGAAGTGGGGTCATTGCTGTGACTATATCTGACCATGTGGTTTAGGAGCCTTTGGGGCTGGCTTGTGGGAAGAGGAAGAATTAAGAAAGGTTTGGAGATGCCAGCTGAAAAACTATAGCTGGAATGCCTGATACTGTATTTGATGGGAGATTCTGGTCAGAGCTCAGAAGAGCAGAAAGGGGATAGGAAAGTTGCCAATAAAAGCCAAATTAGGGAGGTTTCTGCTGGAAAGAAGGATTGCACTGGCTGTTGGACTCCAGATGATGTGTTATGCCTTGACAGAAAGTTTGTCTGCATTTTTCTCATGCCAGAGACTTTGCCTGAGACTAAGGATGGAAGACTAATTAATCTAGTAGAAGAAATTTCAAGGCAGTCTTATGTTGAGGCAGTGGCACGGCTACTGTTGGGGGCTTTTAACCAGATATATGTCGAGATTCAGGAGCAAAGAGCCCAGCAGAATAATTGAAAACATTTTTAATTTGGCCAGAAAGGAAGTGTCAGTAAAGCTGTGGACTGCAAAAATAGAGCAAGGGGATCTTGACTGCTGAGAAGGAACAGAAGAATAGAAAAGATAGCCTTGGGGCATCACAAGAAGCAGCAGGACTCCACCCTTTGTGGCCTCAAAACTGCAAAGGTAAAATGATTTGCTTTGAGAAGAGAGCACCAGAAAGTCACGTTCCAGAATGCCAGTGGCCTATGGAAGTTGTTCCTCAGAACTGGGTTGAGGGTGCTCAACAATCCAGGCACTCAACCCCCTACAGCCAAGAGAGAAGGAAGCCTGGCTACTGCTGCAGCTGGTGGCAAACCTTGGCATCATCCACATGGCTCTGGTTTTAGGTGCATGCAGAACGCAAGAACTGTGGGGTCAGGAAGGCTTCCACCCAGATTTCGGAAGACCTGGGAGGCCAGGCAGTGTGCCCCTCAGAGGGCAGTGTGTGAAACTGTGAAGCCAAAGGTGCACTGGAGACACCAGAACGTTGCAGAATCCAGGAATGTGGATAATCCAAGGAAAGCTGCAAGGAGTGAGCAAAGCCAGCCAAAGAAAGAAACCATGGGAGCTACAACCACCAGAAATGCCACAGGGGTAGAGCTACTCCAGCCTTTTGGAGCTTACAACTTGCCACAGATTGCCTCAGATGTTGAATATGAAACTATAGAATTTAATGTTTGCTCTGTTGGATTGTGGACTTGCTTTGGTCTCAATCCTTTGTATCCCCCTGTTTATAACTTTTGGAATAGAAATTGTGCCATTGAATATTGGAAGTGTTTAACTTTCTTTTCATTTGTACAGCAGCTCACAGCTAAGAGTTTGCCTTAAATCTCAGAGGAGACTTTGAACTTGGCCTTTTCAGCAATGCTGAAATTGTTAGGACTTTGGCAACTTTTGGAGATGGACCAAGTGCATTTTGCATAAAGGGACATGTGTGAGTATTCAGGGACCAGGGGTGGAACGTTATGGCTTGTGTTCAGATGTCCCCCCAAAGCCTCATGTGGTCACGGGTCAGGCCTTTTCATAGGTGACTGGATCCAGATTGTGTGACACTGGGGTTGATTCATGGTACAATACTAGGATCAAGGGCACTAGGATTAAGAATGTGAGTGCTACCACCTAGTCTCCAGGTGGGTAGCCTGGATAAGAGCTGTGGTCCTCCCTTACTGCTTTTGCTACCTTCCGTCCACCATGAACTGTTTCTCCTTTTATCCTGCCTCGGAGCCAGCCAATTGTGGACTAAAGCTAAATAAACCTTTCCCTCTTTAACTGTGGGTGTCAGGTATTTTGCATCAGTGATGAGAGAAAAGTAACTAAGACAAGTGGGCAGACGGACTTGGATCCAGTAACACGATTGCTGTGCTCAGCGACAGAACAGGGCTTGGCACACCGCAGATGCTTAATAAGTGCTTATGTTGCCCTCAGTGTGTGGTGTTACATGGATAGGGGTCTGGGACAGGTCTGGGCACACAGGGACAAGGCCTCACCTTCCTCTGCATCTTCTCCAACAGCTTGCTCTTGGCCCTCACTTCCTCCTGGATGGAGTCATAGACATTAAGCAGCACCCACTCCCCGACATCCTCGTCCGAGTTCTGCAGCGCCGCCACCAGCTGCTTCTTGCGTTCATCCGCGTAGCGCTTCCGTCGCCTGTGCTTCTCCTTCAGGTCCTTGTTCTTGGCCTGCTCCCCGCCCACCACTTGCTGCTCCAACAGCTGCAAACTGCCAGTGCGGAGGAGAAAGCAAGAGTGACAGGATCTGCCGATCAGTGAGCATGAGCCATCTGGAAAGCTCTGGGGCTGAGCGCGAGCTCACCAAGTCCCTCCCACAGCCCCACTTCCAGGAGAGGGAAACTGAGGTGCAGAGAGGTGAAGCTGCTTGCTCGCGGTCAGAACCAGAGTTTCTCCCAGATCCACTCAGCTCTAAACCTGTGACCCTGGCTATGGTGTGGGGGGGTGGTTCCTGCAGGCCCAGAACAAACTAACCCCAGCCACAGCCCCCGATGTGACAGTCCCTGCAGCAGCAGAGCTGGCTAGTGTCTATGCTCAGGGACAGCCAGCAGGACGATGCTCCCCGTGGGATGGGAAAATGCCCCCAAATTGCAGTGCCCGATGTTCGGTCAGGCACAGGCAGACATGGTAGATTTGTAAAAAGCATTTCTACATAGAGTACTAAAAGATGTTTAAAGCTTTTCCCTTTGAGGGTACAAATTTTAAATAACTACAGAGGAAGGTTCATGTGGAACTCCCTGCTGCCTAATAAAGCACACCCAAAATGCTTCAGGCTCTGCCTCTTTCCAAAGGGATGGAAAGGCTGATAAGAAGCATGGGGCATTCGAGAAGAGGGGGTGACGGTCAGGCTGAGGGTGGGCACAGCATCTGCAAACCCAGCTGCACGCTCTGTGCAGCTGTGGGCTCTGCTCCAAGCCCCAAAGCAGCTGGAGAAGAAGGAGACCTTGTCCACACCACTCCTATCTTGAAAACCCCGCCAGGACCCCATCAGGATTTAGAACACGGCCTAGAGGGCAGCCAGGCTGCTCTGTCTCACCTCCCTCTGCACCAGCAGCCCCCAGCTCATCTAGCCAGAATCGCCGCTACAACTTCCAGCACAGAGGCCGCCCCCTGCTCTTTACTTGGAAAGCCACCCCTGGGGTACACAGCTTGCACACCCTGCTCAGGTGCTCCTCTTTTGTGAAGCCTTCCCCAACCTTCACTTCAGACCCCATGGTGAAAATGACCCCAAAGCGGCTGAGTGCCCTCCCATGAGGCTGGTGCTGGGCTGTCACCAGCTGCAACTGGTAGCGTCACCCATTTTGCAGGTGAGAAACCAAAGCCCACAGAGGTGGAGAGCCGGCCGGCAGTGGCAGAGGAGGCAGGATAGGAGCCCAGGGCTTCCTGCTGCTCAGCACCCAGCCCTCCCCACCTTGAGTGTCTGTCTCCCCAGTCCCGGGCTCCCTTGAAGGCCAAGATAGCACCCACTCATCAGCACCTCCTGGACAAAGTGGCTCGTTTTCAACTGCGGCTGGTGGGACTGGACTCCTGGTGCTGCGAGGAGGCTGGGTCCCACTGGTGGGATGACGTTATTGCCAACAGAGTGAAAACTGAGGCTCACAAGAGGGACTTGCACAAAGCCACACACCAAGTGAGGGAAGCCCAGCTCCCCAACAGGTCTCAGGCATCCTGGGGGTGCTCTGTCCCTGGTTTGTCTCTTAATCGCAGAGGGCACTGCAGGCCAAGGGATGAGGAATGCCCATGTTACTCTGCCCTAGGGATTCCTGGAGCCCAAAAGCCAGGCCCTCCGAAAGCCCAGAGAGTGACACCTGTGGCAACCTGCTCCCCACTAGGAGAGGGGACAGGGCTGCCCCAGCCAGAGTTAGAGGAGAGCTAATGTGGCTTGGCAGGAGGGTCAGGAAGAAGCTCTGGAAAAAAAAAAAAAAAGAAGCTCTGGTCCTGTCCCACCCACCCTCGGGCTGGGCCACAGCTCCCTCCTGCCCTGCGGCAGCACCCCCAACCCGGGCTCTGGTGCTCACCGGGCGAGCACCTGCTGCTGGTTCGCGCTGGGCAGCAGCTCCTCCGTCAGCACGGCCACATCCACACCCACGCTCTCCCTTCGCGCACTGGCCGTGGGCAGCAGGAGCTGAGGCTGGGCCACCTCGGCCTCCATCCATTTCCCGGGCTCTGCCACCTCCACCACTTCCGGGGCCAGATCAACCTCCTCGACACAGGAAGAAACCCAGATGGGGAGGCAAGGCCACCCCTGGAGACGAGCTCACAGGTGGCCTCAGTCCCAGAAGGGGACAGGCCACCCGTCAAGGTCTGGCATACAGCATCTCCAGCTTGAAGGTACAGGTCGAACACCCCTAATCCAAAACTCTTAAATCCAAAATTCTCTGAAATCTGCACATTTTTGAGCTTTGTGATGCTCAAAAATTTGGGGTATCAGAACATTTCAGATTTTCATTTTCAGATTAGGGATACTGAAGTGTTAAGAGCTATGCAAATATTCCAAAATCTAAAAAACTCCAGTCTGAAATACTGGTCCGAAGCATTTCTAACCAGGGATACTCAACCTGTACCCAGTCAGAGAAATAACTGCGCCCAAACAAATTGTTGCTGCCACCAACACCCAAAAAGTAGCCCCCCAGCTTCCTGGCCTTCCCGCCATGACCCAATCTCCAGTTGGTATCCAGAGCAATTTTCTTAAAATATAAACCAATCATAACATCCCTTTCCTGATTATACACCTGCATGACTTCCCACAGAATTAATCCCCAGGGAAATCCAGCTTCCTCCATGACCGCTGCCCCCGCTCCCTGCCTCCCCAGCCTTTCCCTGCTGCCACCTATGTACCCTGCTGGCCTCTCTGTTGCGGAGAAAGTCAAAACCTTCCCAGCCACAGGACATTGGCACCTGCTGCTCTTCCTGGCCTTTCCTTCTTGCCTGGGTCCCACCTCCATGCCACCTTCTAGCCCAGGCTTCTCAGCGGCTGCCCCTATGTCTACTGAGAGCCTGTGGGACACAGCCCACAGGGTCTTCATTCCCTCAGCGTGGGGAAATCTAAAGGCTTCCTCTCTCTCCCCTGGGCCTGCCCTGCTGTCTGCAGCGAAGAGAAAGGGTGGGGTCTGAGAGCAGCAGGGTCACACCAGGTTCGCAGCCTCTGTCCGCTGCATTCCCTGGGCCCCTGTTCCTTCGGACAAAGGGCTACAAGGCCAGGAAAGTCTGGAAGTCGCCGCCCCAAACCACAGGACTCTAGGTGAATCCCAAGCAGTGTGGCAGCTCCCCTGATCTGAACGTCACTTGGATGAGAGCCAGCTCTTACAAACCCAGGGGATCAAGGGCTGTTTCCCTATTTCATGGACAGGGAAACTGGAGCCCAAAGCCTGACAAGCCACATTCACAGGAAGATGGACAGAGCCGGGCCAGGGAAGTACTCACAGCACGGGGTGGGAGGTCGGTGGCCACCTCGGCTTCAGACCTGGTGTCTCTGGGCTCCAGCAGGTCTGTCAGGGAGGTGTGCTAGGGGGAGAATGGAGTGGGGAGAAGATTGGTCCAGAAGCCTCCTCTCCCCACCTACTGTCCTGACCTCCACACAGCTCCCCAGGGCTGCTCTCGCCCCACAGCCTCCTCTACCCGTCACTGCCACTGCTGAGAGGGGTGGTGTCCTGCGGTGCACCCTGGCTTATTCGTGGAAGTACACAGTAGCACCCCCATTTTCTAGTGGAGGAAACCAAGGCCCAGAGAGGCCAATGCCCAAGGGATACAGCTGGATTTCAAAGGCCCGTGCCCTCTCCCTCTCCCTCTCCTGCTTCCTGTCACCTCCCCTCCCCCTCCCCCTCCCCTCTCCCCTTCCCTTCTTCCTCTCCCTCTCTCAGAAAAGGAAAGCAGAGAACAAAATGGGAAGAAAAGGGAACATTTCATTAAAATATAAGAGCTAAGAAGGGAAAAGGTGTTAGAAGTGGACAGAAGGAAGGGGGCAGCTGCAGCCCAGGGGTGCCTGGGGGTTTCCAAGAAACTTCCCACTCCCTGCCCAGGGCCCGTGAGCGCCTGAATGGGGACTCAGCCCTGCTCCACTCTCTCCGTGGCCACCTGCAGATTCCCCACAGGCGACGGCCTGGCCTGCCATGTGTCTCCACCCCAAGGTCCTTGCTGACTTATGGATCCTCGGTGAGGGTGCTCCTGCCCAGACCCCGGGACACCAGTCCCCTGAACCAGCCACCAAGGCCAGTGCCACGGCAGAGGTGGTGGAGGCACCAAGGAGCGGCAGGGCCAGCAATCCTGTGTCTGCACCGTGACCTCTGCCCCCAGCCAGCTCTGCCTGCTGGAGTTTTGCATGGCGTCGTGTATGGCATCAGCTACCTGCATGGGGGCTCGGGGCGCATCTGTCCTGGCCCCCACGGAGGATAGTCTGGCCAGCTTGGCTTCCACCTCAGCAAACGGGTCCTGCAGGCTTGGTCCCATCTGCAGGCACGCCAGCGGCGGCTCCTCCACCTGGATGTAGTTCTCACCCTCCGGCTGGGTCCCGGAGTCCTCCTGACCAAGGTCCTCATCCAGGAAGTACTTGCTCTGCGACACCTCGGGCCCAGGGAGCTCTAGGTTGGAAAGCTCCTCAGGCACAGGGAGGACGACCTCAGACAGGGAGGATTCTTCCAGCATGGATGACTCACTGGACCTGAGAGAAATCTCAGACTTGGACGGTTCTGCCCTGCGCAGCTCCTCAAATCTGGGAGAAATCTGGGTGTTAGCGACCGCGTCCCCGGGCAGGGCATCGGGCACAGAGAAGATGGTGCGCTTCGCGGCCATCTCGAACTGGAAAGCAGGTGCGTGCTCAGACATGCTGGTAAGCCCGGCCCTGGACAGGACCTCCCCGTTGTGGAGGACTTCTGCTTTCAGAACAGCCTCTGCAAAAGGAGGACTTCCTGAGCTTCTCAAAGCAGAAAAGGGAGGGGACTGCCCAGCCAAGAGTCAGAGCCTCCCCAGCACCCCCAAAGTCCAGCCCAAGTGCCAGCCATCCCTGCCTCATCAGAACACAAACCCTGCCCTCTCTTTCAGGAAGTCTTCCGTGGCCAGCACATGACCTCTGCAGTCTGATCTCCCCAGCCACTAAGTGCTGGGTTCTTAGCATCCTGTCTTGGGACCACTGTTCCAATGAGCAGGCTCCCTGTGGGTCTTATTGCCCTCACAGCCAGTCCTCTAGGCCCCCTGATGAAGCGCCAGGCTCAGGGATCTTGGCCACAGAACATGCTAGAAGCCTGCCCAGTAAATGAACACCAGGGTGCATGTTAGAGCTATGCAGACCAAATACAGTTCTCTAGGAGGCCTGATGCTCAACCCAGAGGGGCTACTCTGAAGGACAGAAAATGCCAGAAGCTGCCAGGCATGGTGGCACACGCCTGTAATCCCAGAACTCGGGAGGCTGAGGCAGGAGGATCACTGGGACTTTGAGGGCAGCCTGGGCTATGTAGTGAGTTCAAGGCCACCCTAGACTACACAGTGAGACTCTGTTGAGAGAGAGAGAGAGAAAGAGAGAGAGAGAGAGAGAGAGAGAGAGAGAGAGAGAGAAGAAGAAGGAGGAGGAGGAGGAGCAGGAGAGGAAAGGAGAGAAGAGAAGAAAAAGCAGAGAAGAGAAAGAAGAGAAAAGAAAAGAAATAAAATAAATAAAATAAAATGCCAGAGGCTGCCCTCTACCCTTCCGGGCTTTGCTCACACAGGTCCCTCGGGCTCCTGCTCAGGGGTTTCAGTTACCCTTCCACATCCCACCTGTTTCTTTTTTTCCTGTGTCCTAGCTCCCCTTGGAGTGCCCAGGCTCACTCTGCTGAAACCTGGGGTGCACGCCCTGGGAAGTGTCCTCAACCTCTCCCAGCCTCAGTGTCCATGCCTGTCAAGTGAGGGTCCAGGGCACCGCACTATCTGGATGGGGGAGGCTGGAGGGGAGGGCGTTGGCCCAGCACCGCACTGCCCAGCACACAGCAGTGTCCACACAGCTGCCGACACTGTGCCGGGCATCGTCCTCACTGCAACAGCGGATGTGATGGCGCTGGGGTGAGCAGGACGGGCAGCACCGCTGCTCAGATGATACACCCTAGACCCACACCATCCAAAGGGCGGCAGGTGCCAGGCATGATGCCGCACGCCTATAATCCCAGCACTCGGGAAGCTGAGGCAGGAGGGTCATCACAAGTTCAAGGCCAGCACGGCCTGCATACAGAATTCAAGACCAACTACATAGCGAGACCCTGCCTCAAAACAAACAAAAAAGGTGGCAGCCACTTCATGAGTGCATGCGCATGAGATGTGGTTGCCTTGGTAACAGGCAGGCTCAGAAGTGAGAAGAGAGTACAGAAAACAAAGCAGCTTGGGGTAGGGGCCTCCCCTCAAACAAGAGGGACCCTTCACGCCTCTGAGCCAGCCTGCAGTGGGCACAGCTGAAGCCGAGCCCTGGAATGCGGGGTCACGTGTGAGATCTCCCTCTGGGGCCACAGTGCGTGGGTTCAAATCCTGGCTCTACTTCCCCAGCTGCATGACCACGGGCAAGTACTCACGTCCCTGTGCCTCTGTTTGCTGACCTAAGACAGGAGGGGAAGGGTGGTGCCCATCTCACTGCGCTGCTCTGAGGGTTGAACAGGCACACACCCCAGGCCTGGTGGGCACAGGGCTCTGTACACATCAGCCCTAAAGCCGAGGCCCCTCCTGCAGCCCCGGCGGCGCCCACCTGTCCCTTTCCGCAGGTTCTCCTGCAGCGTGGACAGCCGCACGTCATAGGAGTTGCGCATGGCCGTGATGTCCTCCTCCAGCCTGGCACGGGACTCCTGCTCCGCCTCGTAGTCGGCCCTCAGCCGGGCCAGGCGCTCCTCGTACTCCTGGGTGGGTGGGGAGACCCAGGGCAGCGCTTTACCACTGTGCTGCTCGGAACTCGCTCCCGGTGCTCTTCTTCAGTTGCGCAGATGGTTCAGAAAATCCGCGTGAATCAAAACAAAGCATCTAAGATCCCCCAGGCCACACAGCCAGCCGTCTCTGCTGGGTCACAGCGCCCTTCTCTGTGCAGTTTTGGGTTTGCTTTGCCTTGGATTTGCAGTAGCAGGGATGGAACCTATGTGTGCTCTGCCACTGTACCACCGAGCCACAATCCCAGTCCTTTTTCTATTTTTTATTTACAGACAATGTCTCACTAGGTTTCCCAGGCTGAGCTTGAAGTTGTGATGCTGCTGCCTCAGTCTCCCCAAGTGCTAGAATCACAGTCTCCCCAAGTGCTGAAATTACAGTCTCCCCAAGTGCTGGAATCACAGTCTTCCCAAGTGCTGAAATCACAGTCTCCCTAAGTGCTAGAATCACAGTCTCCCTAAGTGCTGGAATCACAGTCTCCCTAAGTGCTGGAATCACAGTGCACCCACATGACCAGCTTCTCTATGCTTTTCTTTAGTGGACCAATGATTGTGTGTTTGTGTGCAATCTACTTTCTCCACGTAACACTGTGTCACAAACATCTTTTGTTTATTTATTTTTTGGGGGGCGGATTTTTTCCGGTACCGGGAATCAAACTCACGACCTTGCACTTGCCAGGCAGGCGCTGTGCCGCTGAGCTAAATCCCCAGCCCCTTCTCTATGCTTTTCTTTAGCAGACTAATGATTGTGTGTTTGTGTGTGATCTACTTTCTCCATGTAATACTGTGTCACAAACATCTTTTGTTTATTTATTTTTTGGGGGGCGGATTTTTTCCGGTACCGGGAATCGAACTCACGACCTTGCACTTGCCAGGCAGGCGCTGTGCCGCTGAGCTAAATGCCCAGCCCCACAAACATCTTTTGGCCTCCGATGCGTTTTTGCATTGAGTGGTCCTCAGCCCACTGCTGACAAAGCATATTTCTACTCGTCTGCTTTCCTCTCCACCTTTGCTGGCACACCGGCTCTTGTCCCATCGGCCTCTCACCCCGCCCCACCTCCGTGCTGTTCCTGCCCCAAACACTGCTGCGGATCTGTCAAAGGCCCCTCGGCCTCATGGGTAAAATCTAAGCTCCTCGACTTGACCTGACCTGACCTCAGCCCCCTACAAGATGTGGGCCTGCTGCCCTCGCCATCTCCTCCTTTTGCTTGCTGGCGGTGCTGGAGATGCAGCCGGCACATGCTGGGGAAGCGCTGATCCACTGAGCTCTGCCGCCCCCAGCCCAGACCTCCCCGCATTTTTCGCCACATTTGGGGCCACTGATTACCTGCGCCCCCCGCCCCCAGGCTCACCCACTTCCTCCCTGCTCAGGGCTGCGTGGCTCTTTGGCAGGCTCCTCCCCAAGCCTGGGCTCAGCCCCACCCAAGGGGTCTTCCTCTCCTCAGCTCCCATTCTTCTGTGTACCTGATGCCAGGCGGGCTGCCAGCGCCCTCCCGAGAGCGGGCGTCAGCACACCTACAAGCACCGAGCTTCCTGCTAAGACCTGAAGAGCCGGGGTCGGCCTGCTTCCCGGGCCAGGCAGCTCTCCGAGCCCAGGGCGCCCAACGCCCATCTGCTGTGTCACTGCCCCCACCCCCACTTCCGTCCTCACGCAGCTGAGAAGCCGGCCGGGTGCTGTTCCCACTCCGCAGGTGCCGGGCCTCTGCCCTGCACCCGCACTGCTCCTTACAGCACAACCCCGCCCCCTGACACCTCAGTGCCACCCAGGCCTCAGCCCAGAACTTCTGCACTCTAAGACAACCTAGCACCAGCAACCCAAGCACAGGCGTCTGCACGGACACACGCAGCATCCTGCCTCCTCCTCTTCTGTGCTGAGCTCACCCCCCAGTCCTCACCCTCCTCGGCCCCCACAACGCCTCCTTTCCTCCTCACAGAGAAGACAGAAGCAGCGGGGCACTGCCACCCTCCCCCACTGCAGGCTGCCAGAGCCCCCTCCTGTGTGGTGGGCATGAACCACCTGCAGCTGGGCCACTCCCCTGAGAGCCTGTTACATGTTCAAGCCTATACCACGATGTCTCCCTCTGCCATGGACCGAACCGTCTACAAAGCATGTCCATCCTTTCCCCGTCAAAGCAATAACCCCGCCGCCGCCACCACCAGCGTGCTCAGGGCTGCGTGGGGGTCAGAGCACAAGCTGGGCTCTCGGCCCCTGCGCCCGAAGACAAGACGGCCCTGGGTTTCCACCTTTGTCCAGTCTGTGTGCGTGACAGGAAAGCTGCCAGGACAGACATCGCACAGACGAGCGGGCAGGGGCCCAGAGAATTTAAATGACCCACCGGAGGCCACACAGCCCGACTGAACTGGGGTGGCAGAATGGCGAGGCTGGAAGGACCCTGGGGGTCTGTTGGTCCAAACCTCCCAGCACAGACTGCAGCCTGGAGCCGAGTCGCGCTGCAGCTTCACAGCGGAGCCGTCTCCACCGCGCTCTGGAATGGGGAGGAGCGCACAGCCCCAGGCCACGGCAGATGCTCCATAATAGGACCACGGCAAGAGCGAGCAGCGGGAAGGAGACAGACATCCGCAACCCTTCCTCCAAGAGAAACCCCGGGGTCGGCAAGGGACTCTCAGGGTGGCAGGGTTGGGCTGGGCTGAGCACGCTGATACGTGCCGGCATCCCCTGGGCAGAAGGACCTTCCCATCCAGAGCCTCAGCCAGCTGTGCCTCCCTGTGACCACCAGAGGGCGGTCGTACCTTGCTCGCGGGACAGCCAGAGCTCCGGCCACCCAGCTGTGCACCCGGCGGACCACGCCCGCATCCCAGCGCCGGTCCAGCCCTCCGCTCCCCTCCCGGATGTGTGCCCAAAGTCCAATGTCGTGTGATTCTGTGCCACTCTGAACGCTGCTAGTGTGACTTCTCTAGTTTCTGTGGCCTTGTGCTCAGCCATCCCCAAAGACCCCTTCCTTGCTGCTACCACCCTGGGGCACAGGCCCAGGGCTCCGGAGATGGTCCTCACACCCGGCCCCGCCCTAAACCCACAGGTGAAAAGACAAGTAAGTGGCCAAGTGTACTGACCCCAAGTGAGGTCACAGTGCAGCGGTAGGGACCAACTGCGGCACAGCCAGGCTACAGCCCTTGCTGGGTGCCCGGGCGCGGCATCAGACCCAACACCAGGAAAAGCCAGCTCCCCTTGGGGATCAGCAAAAGCCAAGGTCCCCACAGGCTCAGGTCTCAGGGCACAGCCGTCCAGGGCAGGGCCTCTGAACACCACGAGCCTGGAGTGGGCATGGAGACCAGGCTGGGGTCCAGAGGCCCTGCCATGCTGGCTGCGCAAGTCCCTTGTGGGAGCCAGTTCCTCACCTGGTTCCTGCATTCCCTGCCCAGGGGGCCCCGGCGTGCTGCAGAGGACACAGGGCCCTTCCGTGACAGCTTGTCCAGAGCCAGCACTGTACTCTTCCCGGGCACAGGGCTGTTCCGCTCCAAGCCAGGCCCGCTGGAAGCTGCAGAGGGGCAGGCTCCTCCTTAGCCTGACTGCCCCACCTTCACCCAGGCCATTCCCAAGGCCAGGGACACAGCGTCACTTCCATCTGTCTCAGCCAGTCTTTCCTTCAGCACCGAGGATGCCCTGTGCTTCTGACCAGGCCCCAGGCCCTTCCAGGTGGGCCCTGACATGGCACAGACTGCAGTCTGGAGCCAGGAACCTGGGTTCAAATCCTGACTCAGTTTCCTTATACCATGCCTTAGCAAGATGTGGCCTCTGTGTGTGTGTGTGTGTGTGTGTGTGTGTGTGTGGCCCCTAAACCCGGGGCCTTTGCACTGAGCTACATTCTCAGCTCCTTTTTTTTTTGGTACCAGGAATTGAACTCAGGACCTTGCACTTGCAATGCCAGGCAGGCGCTGTGCCACTGAACTATATCACCAGCCTTCTCAGCTTTTTGTTTTTACTTTAAGACAGTGTCTCACTCAGTTGCTAAGCTACCTAGGTTGGGTTTGAAGTAGGAATCCTCCTGCCTCAGCCTCCCAAAGTGGGATTACTACAGCCCCTGAGCTCCAGCTTTCTCAGCTGTAAAAGGGGGACTATGGTACCTCTGGGATGAGAATGCTGCTGCTGCAGCCTCTGCCCCCGCTGGACCACAGTGCAGGTACCCTCCCTTTCCCACTAGGCCCCACCCGCCCACCTGCCAGCCCTATTCGCCTTCTCCCATTGGCTCAGGTCTCACCTCGCGGATCAGCTGCTTCTCGGCTTCCATATCCTGCTGGACCACAGGGCTGGACGGCAGCTTCTCCTCAACCCGGGAAGGGCTCAGGGGCAGCTGGCCAGACAGCAGCGCTGAGGGAGAAACAGAGGATGAGGAGCCAGAACCAAGGCACGCACAGCTTGTAGGAACTGAACAGAATCTTCGAAAGATGACTCCATGGTCATCTGGGAAAGACACGTCTATGTGTAACACGCTGAGTCACTCGGTCCCCCAACACATCTGTGTGGACGGCGCAGGTATTCTGGACACTAAGGCTGCAGCATTGGACCAAACATGTGACAAGAAGAGGGGGGAAGGGCCAGGGATATAGCTCAGTGGTGCAAGCATCTGCCTGGCAAGTGTGAGGTCGTGAGTTCGATTCGAGTACCAAAAAAAATAAAAGAAGAAGAAGAGGGAGCTGTGGCAGCTGCTAGAGAGTAAGACCAGGAGGAAGGCTGCACTGTGACACTGCAGTCAGACAAGATCCTGAGTGGGGAGAGATGACAGCAGGCATCTGTTAGAGCCGGGACAGAGGCAGGCAGAGAGCTTTCCAGACAGATGGGGGCCATGGGTGCAAAGGCCCTGGGGCAGGTGTGAGCCTATACTGGTTTGGTGGGGGAAGCAGAGGTTGGGAGATGAATGAGGCCAGCTCTGGGGGGCCTAGAGGCCACCATGAGGGCTTCGGGGTTTCATCTGGGTTAAATGGCATCCCTGGAGGTGCTCAGAGGGGAATGTAGCTCAATAGGCTCTGCCTGATGCTATGCAGAGGCCGCGCTTTGGCCCGGAGACCTGCTGGGGGCTGTGCGGTGACTCAGGGGGGAAACCAGCGTCTCCAGCCCGGATCCACGGACAGGCCTGGAGGGGGCCTGGAGAGAAAGCACGAAGCCCAGGGTGGTGCAGGGATTCGCTCAGGGACCTGAAGGACTAACGGCCATCCGCTGGGTAGGGACAGCTGCAGCCATGCAGATTTAGGGTCCAGCAGGGTCAAGCCTGGGATGCAGGAACACAGTGCATCACATTATTCTAAAGTTCTCTGTATGTCCCGATGTTCCGACATCTTGGAAGGACCTGCTGGCCAGGGGCGACCCTTCTCCCAGCGCTGGCTAACTCCTGAGAGAGCACTCAAGAGTCAGCCGACAGATCCTGAGCCCACAGCCACCATGCCCTTCAACACCCCCCATGCAGCTGGTGTCTCCATGCCCTCCACACGCCCGGGGCCTGGGACCAGACAACTAAGACAGCCCCTGGTCCCAGAGGCCTCCCAAAGTGCTCAAAGCAGCCAGGCCTAAGGCGCTGCTCCACCAGGGTGAGGCGGGGTGGAAGGGGGAGAGGGCGGTGGGGAGCGGGGTCCAGACACGGGGCTCCTGGAGGACAGGGCAGTGGGGTGGGGCTGAAGGAGCTCAGGGGGACACAGGGCCAGTATGCTCTGACAAAGGTTCACGCTCCACCAGACAGGGCAGACAAAGAAATCTGTGGTAACAGGGGAAAGGGAGGCTGAGGGGGCCACGCGTAGCAGCAGTGAGCATTAGCAGACACATGTAGAGCCGGATCTCGCCCCTGGCCAAAGCCGCTTTGGGTCAGGGCAGCGCGAGTGGCTCCGTGCTCACCTGCAGTCACTAGGTCACCCTCCTGCTGCTGCTCTCGGCTCACCCTTGTGGAGGAGAGGGTGGCTCAGGGCTGAGTCACTTGCCCCAGGAGCATGGCGGGAGCTGGCTGCAAGCCTGCTGAGTCTTAGCTGTCCACCCAGGGTCACTGTCCTTCGCTAAGCACCTGGCTCCAGGCCCAGGGGCACCCCAACCTGGTAGATACCGGGCCACCACTGGAAGGTGGTGCAGATGTGGGTCACAGGATGGAGCCCACCATGGAGCTTCCTGCCCCCCATTCCTCTGTCGGTCTCCTCCTCACCCATCCTGGGGCAAGCAGGGCTGGGACGGGGGTTGAGGAAGGGGGCTTGGAAGAGCCTGGGCCCGTCCATTCCCCCATCACAGAGCTCCTGGCTGTGCGTCCTGCCCCTGCCACCCTCAGCTGATGCCACCCCCCCACTCACCCTGCGGTGGCCAGCAGCCGTGCTGTAGCTCCCCAGCCCCAGCCCAGAGTCTGCACAGCTTTCACAAATGCCACTGTCGTCCTAAGGCAGAAACCTCCCGCCCTCAAGATGGCTTAGTGCCACCTTCTCAGGGCAGCCCTCTCGGCTGGCCACACGCTTCTTTCCGCCCTAGAGTCCGTCTTGCTGCAGTATGGGTCTCCTGGCAGGCCCTTCTCCCCCGGGAGACCAGGCTCCCCAGGAGGCAGGGCCTGGGTCTGAGTCACCTGTGTCCCCAGCCTCCAGCACAGGTCCACACACACAGGAGGCGCTCGGGGACCTTTGGGTGGACAGGCAGATGGCTGAGTGGACAGGCGGACAGAGGACGGATGGCAGCGGGGAGACAATGAAAGTGGGAATACGGAGGGCAGGGGGACAGGGGCGTAGTTCGAATGGGTGAATGGACAGTAGGTTGAGTGGAAGGATGGATAGGAGGGAGGGAGGGAGGGAGGAGAGGAAAGAAGGAAGAGAAGAAGGGCGGGTGGATGAGTGGGTAAATGACGAGTCGGAGGAGGGCAGGAAGATGGAAGGGTGGAAGAGGGAGTTGGTGTGTGGGTGAGCACGGAGGGGAGCCGTGTAGAACGGATGTGCCGAAGCAGGCAGGCGGGTGAACAAACCCAGGCTCTTTTGCACCCCCTTTCCTAAGAGACTGAGATACAGCACACCCCAGCAGAGCCCATCAAGCCAAGGGCCCCGCGTGCCTCCGTCCCAGCAGGATCTCCACCCGCCAGGCGACAGCCAGATGCCCGGTGTGCAAGCCACAACAACATGGTGTCTAACGAGGAGCAGGAGTGGGCTGCAGGGAGGTGAGTCACCCAGCTGCTGGATCACGACGCAGCCCCAGAGACAGCAGGCAGACGGGGGGCGGTGACGGATGAGCAGCCGGGGGCGGGGAGCGAGCGTGCAGCACGCAGCACGCAGCTGATGGGACCGGCCAGATGCACCAGCCTCTTCCTGCGGCCACGGACAGGAAGGTGCCACGTGGCCGACACCAGCAGGGCGCCCTGAGTGTGCAAAGGCCGTGCCTCAAGGTGTGAGAGGAGGAGGGGCCGCTGCTTGCGTGGCTCCCAGAGGCCGGAAGGAAAGGTGCCCTCCCCGACGCCCCGGCCCAGCAGGCACCTGACAGGCCCCCGGGGCTCAGCTGCCGCGCCAGGATAGCCCGGAGCTTCTTGATCTCCTCCTGGTACTCGCGCAGGAGGGCGTCCTTGGGGTCCTCGTTGATGCGAGGCTTGTTCTTGATGTTCTTGGCCCGGTTGGCGTAGCGCAGCGTGCTGAGAGTCTCGTCGTAATTGTTGTCCGCGGGGGACAGGCAGGCCACCATCAGTGTCTTGGTGTTGCCGCCCAGGGAGTCCTGCAGCAGCCGCGTCAGCTTGGAGTCCCGGTAGGGGATGTGCCTGCAGCGCCCGTCCACCAGGGCGGAGATGACATTGCCCAGTGCTGACAGCGACAGGTTGATCTTGGTGGCCTCCTTGAGCCGCTCCCCCGAGGCCCCAGTCTTGGACTGCCGTTCGCTCCCTGCCAGGTCCACCAGGTTCAGCTTGCCCGCTCGGAGATGGTCCTTGCCCCGTTCATCTGTGGACAACCGGGCAGGGGGCAAGAGCCTTGGGTGAGCCCCTTGGTGAAGAGTGGAGTGCACCATTGAGCCCCGAGTGCCATCGCCTGCTGAGGGTTCAAGTTGGCTGAACAGGAGTCCCAAGAAGGAAGAGCTACTGCTGTGCCCATCTTACAGACGAGGAAACTGAGGCTCAGAAAGGGCATCTAACTTGCTCAAGGTCACACAGCTGCCAAGAGGTGGAGCTAAGATCAGAACCTGGGGCTGTCTGACCCCAGGGAGCAGGGGCTGGGAGTCACAGACTGTTTTGTAGAAGGTAGCAGGAGTCCTTCTGATCCCCACAACAGTTTCTACAGACTTCCTGTTAGCCCAAGGGCAGAGGAAGCAGGTAAGCAGCTGGGTCACCAGGGAGCTGTGTTCTTTCTTGCACAAAGCATAGACTTTGGAGACCTACGGACCTGGTTCACAGGAAGTCCTGCCTCCTCCTCGCTGTGTGCCGTTAGCAGAACCAGGCATCCCTCTGATTCCCACAGAGTGAGATGAGCAAGGGCTGCCCACCTGTGCTGGTTGCTGGGCGGAGTAAAAGCAAGCTGGCAGCACAGCACGGCAGGTGCCAGCTTCCCAGGAACGAGGCTGGTTCTGCGAGGCGGGGGGCTGGGCCCGCAGGGCAGACCCTGGACGTGGAGGGTGATGGAGAGCTGGGCACTGGATGGGAGTGCCAGGCTCAGAACAGGCCCACCCGGGTCCACTCGCAGAGGCTGCGCAACTCGGGGAAGTGGCTTCACCCATGGCGCGAGGCTCGGTCCCTCTCCCAGTGAGCTGCTGCCTTAGTTTCCCACCGGCAGAAACCAGAAGTGGCCTGAGTTATGTCCGTGAGAGCAGCAACCAGAAGCAGGGAAAGAAAGTTTGGCTGCTAGAGATGGACGTGTGAGGGGCTTGGCTCTGCATGCTCACCAAAAAAAAAAAAAAAAGGGAGGAATGTGGGACCACTCTCCAAAAGTTACTTGCAGAATTATCACTGAGCTGGGTGAGGTGGTGCACACCAGTTATCTCAGGACTCTGGGAGGCTGAGGCAGGAGGACTGCTTAGTGAGGCTGTCTCAAAAAATAAAAGAAGGGATGGGGATGTAGCTGAGTGCAAAGGCCTTGGGTTCAATCCCCAGTACCAGAATGTACTAGGCGCCTTAAACATGTTTATACCCTGTGCGTGCAAGGAATCCAACCCAGGGAAAAGACTCTCCAAGCAGAAAAGCTTTTGTGCACAAAGATGTTCATCACAGCATTATCTACAGTGCTGAAAAGCCGGAAACAACCTTGACCCCTTGTCAAGGACTGGTTGCAAGGCGCGTGAGCAACAGACTCACCTCTGGCCACCACACAGTCATGAAGACACGGAGACGATAATGTGGGCAAGTGCTTAGGGGTGGCCTGGGAGATAAAAACTCAAGGAAAGAACCCCCTAGAGCCTAACATTTCAACTGTGTTTCAAATTTTCATAAGCAGCTTATAAGGGATCAAAAGAACATGCCCTTCAATGTTATTAGTAGCTGTTTAGGTATCAGCCCCACTTTCAAGGGCCCTGCAAAGCCCAGGGTTCACCCCACCAACTCTCTCTCCTCCTCCCCGATTGCCCATCCAGTGACCGGAGTCCCTGCTGCTCGCCAGCGGTGTCCCGGGAAGCTGTCACCATACTGATCCCATCCTCCTGAGACGCGGCATCCCTGGGGACACAGGTGGATGCTCTTGATTCAGTAAGCACCAGGGCCCTGCTCTGGGGCCAGGCCCCCAGCACACAGGGCGGTGTGGGGAGAGGGTCCTTTGGCCACCCGGTCCCTGAGGCAGGGCTCTGTCGGGGCAATGCTCCTCGTTGGGCTGGGGCTGCTTCCTGCTCCACTGCTCCTTAAGAGTTCTGTTCAGGATGAACCACAAACTTGGAGGCAGCTGCAGTGTTAGTGGGAAAACCCAGCTGTCTGGGAGACCTGGGTTTGAATTCCGACCCTAACTTAGCAGTTATGGGACCTTGAACATGCAAATCACTTCATTTCTTGGGGCCTCTGTTTCCTCACCTGTGAAATGAAAATCACAGCACGCACTTCTAGGGCTGTGGTGGGTTTACACAAAATGAGGTACAAAAAGTACTTAGCATGGCATGTGGCCTACAGGCACCCAAAAAAACATCTTTCCTTCCTCTTCCCTTTCTCAGCAGCTCTTCAGAAAGAAGGAAGAAGCAGATGACTGGGGAATGGGGAACACTATGGAGACAGGGGTCAAAAGTTTTAAGTGAGTCACACCTTGGGGGCAGACCGCTGGGACAGAAGCCCGGCTTTGACACTTCAGTCATGAGAGCCCGATTTTCTCATCTGCAGAATGGGGGTGAGATTATCAACGAGCCCATGGGAGGAGCAAATGAGGTGTGTGCAAAAATTGCGTGGCCCCCGGTAAGCGCCCAGGGTTGGCCGGCAGCATTGGCACTGTCACCGTCGTTTACGCAGGAAGCACGGCTCCCAGCCCAGGGAGGACCCTCGTCCATCTCGCCCTGCAGCTGGGGCATCGCTTCCCAGATTCCCACGGGGCTTGTGAGGCCTGAGAGGCGCAGGCCTGCGGCAAGCAGCACGGACCTGGCTCTGCTTCTCCCGCCCACCCTCCAGCCCTCGTACCCACGGCGTAGATCTCGATGCTGATGGTGAAGATGGAGTGGGAGCGCGAGGAGTCCTTGTTCATCAGTGTGTAGCCCACCGCTCGGTTCTTCCAGCCCGTCTCCATGATGTGCTCGCACTGGGTCACGCTGTGCACCGTGTGCATGGACAGCCCCTTCACGTACACGCCTTTCTCGGGGTGCTCCTTCAGCTGCGGGGGACGGGGAGGGATGGTTGGGGTAGGGCCTTCTGTGCCTGAGAGGGCAGGATCAGGGATCCCCCAGGAACTAGAGCACAGGGCCTGACTGAGACCACCCCGACCTCCTGTAGTGCAGGTGGGCACTCAAATACCCTCTAGCAGCCAGGGGTTCCCTCCAGATGCAGCCAGCCACAAACCTATACCCGCTCCCTCCCCGAGGGACCTCGGGCAGGTGACTTAACCTGAGTCTCATCTGTAAAATGGGTGTGCAGTACCTATCTCATAGGGAACATGGTGAGGATTCAGTAAAATTAGGCACACACAGTCCTCAGCGTGGTGCCTGGCGGGTGATATGTGCCCCATATGGTGCTGTCACTGTTCACACCGTGACTGCAAAGGTGTTTGGTCTGGGGGCTCCGGCAGCTCCCTGGGGCTGACCATGCCGTCACCCGTGGCTCTGAATGCTGCCTCCTTTGTGCTGCAGGGCCATTCAGCTCCTGATGGTCTCTCTGCAGTTCCCGGGGCCACAGGACTGCCCCAGGTCCCCAGACCATGGCAGGTGCAGGGCTACTGGTTGCCCAGAGCTCCTGCTTGAACCAGGCCCGGCCCCAGTGAGAGCTCCCTGCTTGCTTCCCAGGCACCCGAGTTGTTTTGTTGCTGACACAGAGCCGCAAAACACGGCATTTTTCAAGTGCGAGAGGAAATAAAACCACTCTGGCAAGAATAGAATGAATTAGGACAGCAGGCATCTGTCTGCTGCATGGCCCTGCTGGTCAGAGCCCCAGAAGGCTCGGATGGCTGCTGTGGGCAGCTCCAGGGGTCTCAGAAGCACCCTGCCCCCGCGAGGTGCTTCCGGGAGGGGGAAGCACAGGCTGCCCCTGTCTGCTCAGGTGTGAAGTGCAGAGACTGCCAGACCCTGCCTGGGATGGTCTCAGAGGAGCAACTGAGACTCAGAAAGCCGAAGCAACTTGCTGATGTCCACACAGCTCTCAGTGAGGTCACCAGGGACAGAGAGCTTCGGAGACAGGTTAAAGAGAGGCTGGGCCCCCTGCAGGAGCTGCAGCTTGAAGTGACAGCGGGCTGACCGTCTGTCTGTCTGTGGCATGAGGAATGAACTCAGAGTCTTCACACGGAGCGATGTCCCCAGCCCTTGAGACAGAATCTCATTAAATGACTCAGTTGCCTAGGCTGGCCTCAAACTTGCAGTTCTTCTGCCTCAGCCTCCCAGGGGGCTGACAAAGGGCTGATCTAGACACAGGAAGTGGCAGTGAGGATGAGCATAAAGGACAGAAGCAGGGGCACCTGAAAACAGAGCTGGCTGCACTGGGGTCCTGGAGCTGTGCCTCGGGCTTCTCTGGATCCCCACACTCCAGAGCCCAGGGCCCCACCCCAGCATGGTTCAGGAAGAACTAGTGGCCTGGTTTCCCATTCACTCCTACAAGCTTGGGCAGAAACCCAACCAGTCACTTGCTAGCCAATGTGCCTTTCTAGGCCTTAACTCCTTCATCTGTGAAATGGGGATGAGGCTGCTTCTGCAAGACTGTTCTGAGGGTCAGGGAGGAAATGGATCTGTAAAATGCACTGTAGGTACTTAGTGAGGAGGCCTCGGGCCTAAGCAGCCTCAGCAGACAACCTCTCACCAAAGAGGTCTCCATTTTTAAGCCTAGAAAGACTTGTCCCCCTCATCTTCTGATGTCCCCATCAGTCCCCTCTCCACTGCTCCTGCCCCTACCCTGCCCAATGCTCCAGGCATTCACTGAGTGAATGGCGGACAGCTGCACACCACGTTCCTTGGAAACTGCTCATCTTGGCTGCAAGAGGACAGAGCAGGTCGCCATGGCAACCATCTGGGATGCAGCAGGGATGGAGAGGGGCTCGGGTGCAGGAACAGGGACGTGACCAGGGTCCAGGCCTGGGTCTGTAGAGGGGCCAGGCCCTTACACTCTGCCCAGATGTGGCATGGGGAGAGACAACTGCGCAGTCCTGCACTAGGTTCCACAGAGGTGTGTGTGCTGACTGGGGAGTGGCTCTAACTCTGCTTCCCAAAATCTCCCTCTGGCCTTCGCTGACCTGGCAGCTTCTCATCATAACACTTGTCAGGCTTCTTGAGAAGCCCGTTCAGGTTAAGAGGGTGCACTGTGCAGCCCGGTCCCTGGGTTCCAGTCCCTCTGCCTTCCATGTGCCCTCGGGCTGGGCCCCACCGAGGCCCACCAAGCCTCAGAGCCTCAGCTACCAATCTGTATGAAGGGTAAGAGCAGCGCTTCCTCTGCAGTTGCAGGGAGGCTTACAGGAGAGCTGTATGCTCGGCACTCATGGGGAACACGGCAAAGACCCGATGCCCCCACGAGAGCTTCCTGGAAGGCTCTGTCAGCAGCAGGCCCTGAGGCCCAGCTGCAGTGAGCACAAGGCTGGGATAGCCAAGGTCTTCTGGGCCCAGGACAGTGTGGAAGGGGAGCAGGGTCCCAGCTGCTCCAGGGCAGGTTGGTGGACACTGCAGGCAGGCAGGGGAAACCAACCCCACAGCCATGCCTTTTCAGATGCCAATGGGGGGAACACCCTGGGCCCGCCTCCTCTCCCTCTCTCCCCGGCTGGGGGCTGAGCGATGACTCAGCTGCTCTGGGAGAGAGAAGATGTAGCGAGACGCCAGGTGGGCGGTGGCATTCGGGCTTGGAGCGGGCAGAGCTCTGCTGTGTGTGCCGAGCCAGGTGCAGGACAAGGGGCCCCTTGGTTCCAGGTCTGGGTGGAGAAGGGAGCGGGAGGGCTCACGCCAGTGGGTCTGGCATAGTCTGAGGCCTGGCACCTGTGCCCTGGCATCCACAGGGCCTTCCTAGTAAGTCTCTGATGAATGACTAAATCAACCGATGACCACCCCTCCCCGTCTCAGATCTGACATTACTGCTCTTCATCCCCCGACTCCAGGGGGAAAGCATCAGATAAGCAACACCAGAACTGCAGGGGTAGCGGGACGCTGCAGGGGGATTTCTGGCCACAGATCTGGGTCACCATCCCCCACTGGCCTCTCCTCTCTGGACCATACCAGGTCCATCCAGCACTTAAAGAGCCCCGGAGAGATGCGGTCAGGGCCTCTCACCAAGGTGAAGGTGAAAGAGTCTCAGACTTGAGACCAGCCCAGCCACTCCATGGCTGTCCAGTGCTCGCAGCTCTCTTGGCCTCACTGGGCTCCCTGCAGGGTCAGTCTGGCTCTGACTATCTAGACAGAGCCCTCAGGCGCCTAACTCTGCTGCCTGCTGCTGTGAAATGACATTCTTTCATCCTGAGACTTTTAGGAGACGGGACAATTTATGAAATGCGTTCCGGCACTGTTCCGGCAAACTTCCTTCCCCTCAACTGCCAGAGTGCACCAGCCCTAACCTTTTCTGTCGTGAGCTTCCCATCTGTCCTCAACTCCATCCCCTGAGGGCTCCACTCGGCAACCCGTAGTGTGTGCTGTCCTTTCTCTGAGTGCCAAGGGCAAGAAACAGCTCATACAGTAAACACCTAGCAGGAACCAGCACCCTGCTCAGCAACTCACCTCATTTCCCACTTCAATCCCCTACAAGTCTCATGAGGCCGTATCACGGGTTGCTGGTCCCCTTTCAAAGGGAAACAAAGTCCAACGATCTGAGAGAGCCCATCTCGGCAGTATAAGATATCTGAGACCCAGGAGCCTGAGTCGGACAGACCTGGGTTCAAATCCAGGTGTGGCCTCTTGCTATGGTGTGAAATTCAGACAACTGAAGGAGGCTCTCTAAACCTCCCTTCTGCATTGGCAAATTGACCATGGCAATATTGTATCTACTCAACCAGTTTGACTCTGAGTATTAAACGAAAGAATATGCCTAAAGCAGCCACAAAATCATAAGTACTTAGCCAATGATAATATTAATGCCTTTTCAGCTTGAAGAGCCCTTGGGGATTTCAGACCAGTTTTTTACGAGTGGCACCCTTTTTCCAAATAAAATTGATCACAAAACTCCACTGTTTCAAAAGACAAAGGTGGCATTGCCCAGAGAGGGGTCCAGCCCCGCTGTGTGGTCAAGGAGGCCCATTAACCCTGTCCAGCATCAGGGACTCCAAAGTTCAAGTTCCAAAGTCTCCCTTCTGGTCTGAACCTGTGCCCCAGGATGCCCTCCCTGCACTTCTCGGGGACGCCACCCGATGCTGTCCTCCTCCAGCCGGCCCCACACGCCCACAGCGGGTCTGCACCCACCTCCAGCTTCTGCTTGGTGTCAGCCCCCAGCAGGTCACGGACATCTTCATTGTAGATCTCCAGGTACGAGGCCCGGACCAGAAACTTGGTGTCCTCTGCACACTGTGGAGAGAGGACAGAGCATGCGGAGGCATCTGATGCCAAGCCCCGCTGTCGCCAGGCCTGAGACCTCGACTGAAAGGACATCATGGGGGTGGGGGGGCATCAGGGTCGCACACGCCCCCCCTCTGCCTCACCCGGCCTGTTCCGGCAAACTTCCTTCCCCTCAAGCCTGGTGGATCCTCAGGCCTCTCAGGTTGCACATTTTCACATACTGTGTGTCTAGTGCTCCATCTACAAGCCTCATGGGAAAGGAAATACAGGCCTCAGGTGGAGAAACGGCAGCCACAGGTAAAACTGGACAAAGCACTGGCTCTAGGCTGATCCTTGGCAGCTTTCCCAGGCCCCTCGATGTTCCCCAGGGGCCACCACAGAGAGTTCCGGCCCAGGGAGAGAATTATACAAAGGGCTGCAAATAAGACTCGGTCTGCTCAAGGCCTGGGCGACTGCTCCATACAACGGGAGCCGTGACCGGTCACCACCTCTCGCGCCAGCGCTCAGAGTTCCACATCTGTAGAAATGGTAAATGAATGGCCAAATCCAAAAAGGGCAGGAGAAAAACACAGAACTGGTGGGCAGAATCTTCTGAGGTTTAAATTTTTCTCCCATCACCTTTTCAGAAACCAGCGCCCGCTGCCCACTCACCTGTGCCAACTCAAGGCCGGGCTCCGACTGTGTCCCACAGTCATGCCAAAGGTCAGAAGCGCCTTGGGGACCAGCCCGCCTGTGACACTAGCCCCACTGCCCTTCTCTCTGCGGGGCCCATACCTGGACGCTCTCAAACACGTGCTCGAAGGCCCTGGGGATGATGCCTCTCTGGCAGGGCGGGTCCGGCAGGCCCTGCATGGTGAAGGACTTCCCGCTGCCCGTCTGGCCATAGGCAAAGATGGTGCCATTGTAGCCCTCGGTGACGCCCTGCAAGGGAGGAGGCCAAAGCGCAGGGCTTAGCCAGCTAGGCCCAGGCAGGCAGTGCCACCTCCTAACCTGAGGATTCGGGCCCCCGGGTCTTCTGCCCCGTGGCACTGGGCGCGGGTGAGGAGTGGAGGAGTAATCAGTGGTCTACTCAAGGTGCGGGCTGTGCCCACGGGGGTTAAGAGCTTCTGCTGTGCAGCCCGAGCACCAGAGTTCAAATCCTGTCTCCACTCGACTATGTGCCCTTGGCGGGTCTGAGACACTTTGAGCCTCAGTTTCCTTGCCTGTCACCGCACCCATCCTGCCCACACAGAGCCCATGAGGGCACAAGTTCTAGAACTTACTATGGAATGGGAGAGGCTCCTGTGTCAGAGCATGGGCCCAGAGAGCTGCCCCCAGCCCCGGGGCCCGCGCAGCCCCCACACCCTGCTCCACAGCCAAACGCATGCTGTGAACCAAAGCAGAGGTGCAGAAGGCCAAAGCCACCATGTCATGGCTCCCTGAGGACAAGGCCCACTTTGATGTGGCAGGGATGAATGAGCACCTCGTCCTTGTCTGAGGAGACCATGGCCACAGCGTGGCACCTGCAGGTCCTCCGGGTGGCAGCGCACACGCACATGGGGCTGCCACGTGCACAGGCAGCGGGCGCTCACCCAACCAGGGGCCTGAGCTGGCTTCTCAAGCCCACAGGCAGAGAGAGTGGGGCCACAGGGGGCCCCTGGAAAAAGAGCAGCTCCAGGCATCAACACAACCCGAGCTGCGGGGAGAGAGACTGTGAAGATGAAACCAAATTTATTTTATTGTAATTAACTAATGATTTTTTTTTCCCCTTGCTGTGCTGGGGATCAAACCCAGGCCCTTGTACATACTAGGCAATCACTCTACCACTGAGCTATATCCCCAGCTCTATTTTATTTTAACTAACTTGTATTTAAAAATAGAAGCAAGAGGGGTGTGGTGACATACACCTGTAAATACCAGCACTCAGGAGGGTGAGGCAGGAGGATCTCCCTGAGTTTGAGGCCAGCCTAGGATACATGGTGAGTTCAAGCCCAGCCTGAACTACATAGCAAGATCCTGTCTCAAAAATATAAAACAAAATTAAAAAACAGAGGCAATACAGAACATTTTTTGCATGAACCACAACTATTTTTTGAGACAAGGTCTCGCTATGCAGTTCAGGCTGGCCTTGAGCTCACTTTGTAGCCCAGGCTGGCCTCGAACTTGTAATGATCCTCCTGCCTCAGCCTCCCGAGTGCTGGGATTACAGGCGTGAGCCACCACGCCTGGCTCCACAACTTTATTTTTTTGTTTCATTTCCTTTTAGTGACTGAAATTGAGACATGCTGTAACTGTACAGAACACAGACCACATTTCAAAGACTCAGTTTTAAGAGCATAAAACATCCCATTAATATGTCTTATATAATGACAATATGCTATTATATTTCATTGAAGTGATAATATTTCGACTTATCGTACTGGGTTTTTACTTTCTAAAACATGGCCCCCAGAAAGGCCCAAGTTATATATGTGGCTCACTGGTATTTGTGCTGGAGGGCATTGCTTCAGAGCAGAGCATCCAATATGGTATCCTCCAGCCACATGTGGGCATCAAATTAAATTAAATTAAAATCCAGTTTCTCCACATCACTGACCTCCTTCAAGTGCTACTCACCACCATGTGGCTTATGCATATCTTTTTCTCTTTTTTTTTGTTTTTTTGTTTTTTGAGATAGGGTCTTGCTATATAGTTCAGGCTGGCCTCAAACTTGTGGTGATCCTCCAGCTTCAGCCTCCTCGGTGCTGGGATTACAGGCATGCACCACCATATCTAAATTAATTGGTCAGTAAAGATACGGATCATTTCCATATCTCAGAAAATTCTATAGGATACCAGTGCTCTGGAGCTAAGTACAAGACAACTGTAGGTGTATTTCTAAGGCAGATTCCATGGGACAAGCTCCCCCACAGAGCAGGTCCCAGACACACCACTCTAGATTTCCACTCTCATTTTGTCATGGCCACTCAATGTTTACTAAAGAGTTTTCATGAAGTCAGTGGTTAATCAACTACACGTGTCTCTGTCTCTCTGTCTTTCTCTGTGTCTGTCTCCCTCTCTCTGCTGGGGATGGACCCAGGGCCTCTTTTTAACTTGGTATTATCTTCAGCAGTAACTCTCATGATATCCCATTACAGACTGAATGTGTTACACATTTTATCTACTGCTAAAATTAAAACATCTGTTCCGGATTCCCCGCTATCCTCTTTGTGTTACCTCCTGAATATCCCATCCAGGGCCCAATTCAGTAGCTTCCCCTCCTTCATATCTCTGGAAATCAAGCTCACCTCACCCTCCCTCACCATCCTGGACAGGGCAGACACTGTGCTAAGTGGTGCCTGGGCAGACAAAAAGAGGATGCTCTGAGGCCATGGGTGTGAAGGAGCAGGAGGAGAAGCCGAAGAGCCACTGGTTAAGAAAGGACCTTGGGCCAGGCACAGTGGTACACACCTGTTATCCCTGCCCACAGGGAGGCTGAGGCAGGAGGATCAGAGGTTCAAGTCCTACCTGGGTAACTTAGCAAGACCCTGTCTCAAGACCAAAAAGTAAAAAAAGGGGTTGGAGATGTAGCACCCACAAAAGTTGCAAAGGCCACCCAGGGACAAAAGATCAGGGACAGAGCCTGGATTTAAAAGGTGGAGAACAAAATGGAAAGGGCATAAAGTGAGAAAGTGGCATCTGGGAGTACCAGAGCCATTGGTCCTGAGCAGCAGGCTCCCTGGAGCTTGCTCTGGGCCCCAAGCTATCAGCCGGAGGGCCCTGGGAGCAGCATCAGAGCCTCACACTTGGCCTAGGCCCTAGCAGTGCACCTGCTCCTGGCCCAGAGGCAGCCTCGGCTGTGATTTGCACATTATTTGAATGCTGTTTTGCATATGATTTGCATGTTCCTCCTTTAATTTGAGGCAGCAGGACAAGGCATGGGAACAAGGTGCTGGGAATTACAACTGTCCTAACTTTTTCCATGACACTCCAGGCCTCAGTCCTCATCGGGAACAATGATTCCAGTTTTTCTGATAAAGATCAAATGCTACATGCTGGTCTCTACTGTGTGCGGGGCGGGATCTTTCTTCTACCTTCCTGTCTGACAGACTCCTGTCATCCTTCAGAGCCCAGCTCAGGCCTCCCCTCTCCAGGGGGTCCTTCCAGCCCTCCCTCCATCCGCCTCAAGTCCAGGTACCTCCTCTCCCCATGCCGCCAAAGTCTCTTAGACTTCTCCCACTCATGACTCTCGATTGTAACTGTCAGCTCAGCTGCTCCTCCCCTGGCCTTGAGCTTGCTGATGGCGCTGGGTGTCTCCTTCACAGGCACCCCAGGCCCAGATGATGCCCAGTATGGAGATGCTATTGCTTAGTTAGCTGGGTGAATGAATGAATGTCCAGTCTGAGGCTGTGGAGAATAATCAGAAGCAGGAGTCCGCACCAGCAGAAGTCAGGAGAAAAGAGCGCTAAGGGGAGGTCTGACAGCCCTGTCACTGTGTCCTTGGTGTCTCCCTCTCTAGGCTGGGGTTTCCTGGGCACCCGGACAGACAGGCCTGCTCAGGGCATTTCTCCAGGATAGGGAGGGCCCAAGATCACACCAAGAGCAAGGCTGAAGGCCTTAGAGGAGGCAGCGAAGAACATGCTGTCAAATCTCACAGGAACCAACCTTAGAGAGGGAACAGAGGCGTTCCACGGGCACAGAGCCAGGGCAGGGGGCTGAAAACGTCAGGGCTTTGGTGTGGAGTGTGGATCAGTCTTCCAGGAACCCAGAAACAAAGGTGGAGCAGGCTGCTTTGGGAAGTGCGAGCTTTGGTCAGTAACGACTCAGACTCGAGGACTGGTCCTTGGGGACCCAACAGAAGAGGAGGGCTGGGTGGGGTGGGCCATCAGGTCCCTTCCAGCCTGGGAGTCCAGGCCAGCCAATGGACAACTGCTATCCCCAGAGCCAGGGCCAATCCCCGAAGGAGCTGCCCCTCATCCTCTGGGAATCATCTGCAGTCAGGAGATGAGAGAGCTGAGAGCTCAGTGCTCTCAAAGGCTCTGACTGACACCTGTGCAAGAGGTGCGGCAGGCGCCTCCACCAGCCAGCCAGCCAGCCAAAAAGCGTCCATGTCAAATGTTTGAGAACACTCATTTCAGTAAGTCAAGCTGGTCTCTTCACTTCGGGACCTCTCAGGGCCTCCGACACGCACCACGCCCCGTGAAGGTCTCCCAAACCCTTCCTTTCTCCGTGGGACAACAGACCTAGAGATCAGGTACAAGTTGGGAGATGCTGGTAGAAAGGAAAGAACCCGTGGCCAGGACCCAGGAGGTGTTTTTCCAGTGCTAAGGCTGCCAGTAACTAACATGCAAGCTGGGACAAGTTTCCTGCCTCCGGCCTCTGTCTCCCCATGTGTGAAATGCGAGTGCCTTCCCTGTCAGGGTGTACACATGAGCTGCCAGCCTGAGCCCGAGGAAGCCAGGAACTGTGGCCTCTCTGTTATCAGATCCCCAGGGGGTAAGAGACAGACCAGACCAAAGGCAAAGCCGGGCCAGAGGCCTTCTGCAGAAGCAGGGGTCAGTGGGGTCTTTTCTTCACCGCCACAGGGCCCTGGGAAGGATGAGGCCGAGATGGAGGAGAGGACTGGCCAGCAAGCTCAGGCCAGGGCCTGGGGAGGAGGGGGGGGAGGAGAGGGGCGGGACCGGGACGGGGAGGAGAGGACCCGGGGTTTTGGGAGGGAAGTGGCTGGAGGTTCCAGGGTCATGCAGGTCTGGGGTCAGGGTGGAGGGCAAGCGGTCCTAGGCCCGGAGTTCTCTGGGGAAGGTGCTGGAAGGGACGGGATGGGGCCAGCCTTGGCACTGGGTTCAGTGGAGACCTGGACACGAAGTCAGAACGACCTGTCGCTATTCACCTGCGCCCCTCACATCAAAGGCCTCCTCCCTGCTTGTGGTCCGTGCTGACCGTCCCTTCAGGGTGGCCCCGTGCCCAACCCGCCTGACTGGAAGGCAGGCGCCCTCACCTCCACCAGCGGGTAGGCGATCTCGTTGTAGATCTGCTCCGTGAAGTGCTCCATGTGGTAGGCGCCGTCGAAAGTGAACTGCTTGGGGGGCTCGTCGGCGGCGCCCGGGTTCTGGATGAAGCACTGGCCCCGCGCCGAGTCCACTGTCACCACGGACTGGCAGTTCAGCTCGAGCTCGCGCTGGTTCATGGGGCGACAGCGCACCACCACCTTCACGGACTCCGCGGCCATGGCGCTCGCCCGGGGAACCCCTGGGGCTCAGGAGGGGCGGGGCGGCTCGGGGCGTGGGGGATGGGCCTCCTGGGGGCGCCCCGAGAGGAGGACAGGGACCTCGGGCGCGTCCCTGAGGCCGGGCCCGGCCGGGGAAGTGGGGGATCTGCGCTGCACGCGCTGCCGGCCGCCGCAGGACCTGAACCCAGAGCCACCAGGCCACCCGCTTACAAGCGCACGCGGTTGCGGCGTTTGCTGTTGCCGGGCAACGCCCGTGGCGTCACAACTGCGGCTCCTGGAACGTCTGGCGCGAGATCCCTCCGGGGGCGCTGGAGATCCGAGCGCATGAACTCCGCTCCCCAGCTCAGAGCTCAGCAACTTTGCCCGTCAGGCTTAGATGGGAGAGACCCTAGAGGGGAGACCTCTGGCAGAGGCTCGAGGCTTACGGCGGAGTGGGACAAGGACCTTGATCTCCCTGTACTGATTCATGAGAAGGCTTCCACAGCCTACAGCTCCCGGACAATTGATCCCACTCTCATTTTTCCTGAGCCTTAAGATGTTAAGAGTGAAGCAGAAGGATCATAAGTTCAAGGCCAGCCCGGGCAACATAAATAGTCATCAAAATAAAAAGGGGTGAGGGTGCAGCTTAAAGGTGGAGCGTCCCGGAGTTGGATCCCAGAACTGGGAGGCAGGAAGTCAAAGTCTTTTGGATGGAAAGGTCACTCAGCACAGCCCCCATCCAGAAGAGCGGCTCTGTCGCCTCCTCTAGAATCCCTTCTGCCTAAAAACACCAGGTGTCACTTACATGCCAGGCACTGCAACAGATGCTGGGGAGACAGCCCTCCTCACAGCCAGAGTCTAGCAGGGGGACTGATATTGAAAACAAAAATCCCAGAAAGTCCCATAAATGAAAAAGTACAAACTAAAGAACCAATTCTGTGCACCATCTAAAAAAGCAACCTGAGTCTAGCCCAGTAATGGCAAACCTTTTAGAGCTTTCAAATATAACAGCCCACTGCAACATGCATGCCCAAGGTTCGCCATCACTGGCTAGTCAGTCAGAACAGGTATCCTGAGACTGACTAGAGCTGCACTATGACAGCTCAGGAGCTAACCAGGATAAGCAGCCTAAGGGAGAGGAGGATGATAAGTCATGTCTGGGCTGTGCAAAGGTCCTGTGGCATGTTGCAGAAGCAGAACGCAAGCCCAAGTTTCCAGAGCACATGGTCTTGAATCTTTTTCCTATACCCACTGTAGGCTTAAAGTAGAAGAGGGAAAGGAGGGAGGATTTGATTAAACCTACCCCATCCCTTCTGGACACTGTCAGCCCCCACGTGCAGGACCTCATTACTCTGTACCAGAGCAGGGTATGTTTTATGTTTAGAAACAAACACAAGACAGGCAAACTGAATGAAGACCATGCCTTTCAAGAAAAAGTCTGCACTCCACAATCAGAAGAAATGCATTTTATTTGTCTCACAGTCCACACAGTAAGGAAAGTTGGGCTTCCTGGATGGTGCTAGCTGGAACAAAGACAAAACTGTGGTTTGTGAGTAAGACACAGGGACCTGCACCCATGGGCAAAACCCCTGCCCTGTCTGTAACTCGTGATCCACAAACGCTGCTTGGAGGGATGCTAGGGGGCTTGCTGAATCTCCACCCCTCTTAGCTGGTCCATAGCACGCCCCACCCCTCCCAAAGACAGTCTGGCCCAAGTGCTGGCCAATCGCCAGGCTTCCTTAAGTGCCGGTCTCTGGAGCTGCAGTCCTAGGTGTGGGATTTCCCTAACCCTCTCCCTGCTGGGGGAGTGATGCCAGAGGCTCCCCCAGAGACCAGCACTCTGCCCAGGAAGGGTGGGCTCCAGCACAGGTGGCTAGAGGAGTGCCAGCTGCCCACTCACATTCAGCATGCAGTCAGTGCAACGTTTCCAGTGAAAAGAGCCCCAAAGGACATTCCTCTAGTTCTAGTGGCACCTGACTCAAAGTGGTAAGGTCCCTAGCTAAGATCATGTCCTAGCGGGGGCTGCCAGCTGGGACATCAGGCGTGCCTGCCTCCTCTCCGTTCTGTTGGGGCTGCCCCCCTGCCCAGTCAGAAATCTGTTACTTCCAAGGCACTGATCAGCAGACCCCCACACCCTGATGGCAGAGAGGGTGGTTCCAAGACTCCTAACCTGGCTCGGCCTCAGGAATACAATTTCATCCAAAATGAACTTGTCCCACGGCTTGGCTGGGTATATTCATATTTATCTGCCAAGTCTTACGAAGGTGATGCCTGGACTCATCAGGCACCGGAACGGCCACCTCCTTCCACTCCAATGGCTTCCCCAGCTCTCCCCCGCCTGCTGAGGCCCAGCTCCTCTGACAGGGCTCTCTACCTTTGGGGACTCTGTTCTGTCTCATCCCCATGGGCCTGGCTTGGTGAGAAAGGTGGCCCTGACACCACGGCCAGGCCTATATCAAAGGAAACACCAGGATCAGGTGGCTGTCTGAGGTAGCCATCAAACCAAGGTGGTCTGCAGGGTGAGCTGGGCAGGGCAGCTCTGTGCTGGGCGCTCCTGGGCCAGAAGGAAAAAGCTCGGGGGCCAGGAATCACACTCCATGGGTCTGGTTTCCTGCCAGGAGCTCTCCAGAGCCTCCCAGGCAAGGACTAAGGCCTGGCCTCCTGGGGAGAGGGCTGTACCACTCACCCAGTGAAAAGCTCTTGTGCAAGGAGCAAAGCGTTAGCCTGCAAGACAAGCACCCCCATCACCCCGAAGTTCCAGGAAGCCTGGAGCTCCACTTGCTCCTCCTAGGATCTGGGCGAGCCCCACACGCAATCTCAGGGCTCCCCTCCTGCAGGCAGTGAAGCGATGGAAGACTGGTCCGGGGACAGAGACCGACAGAGATGGCGGCCGCTGGGGTGTGAGAAGGGCGGAGCAGCTCCTGCGGCTGGAGCCAGGGCCAGACTGGCCTGTGATCAGGGCCCACTTCCTAACCCAGGCCCAGCAGCTCTGCCTCAGACTTGGCGTGGCTGAGGGGCCGCAGAGTCCGGGGGGGCCTGCCCTCGGGCCCACAATCCTGCTCCTCGTAGATGGGGTTCAGGCGGCCCATGTCCAGGGGGCAGAACAGGCTGTGCTCCATCCCAGCGTGGTTCTCCACCAGGGCCTCCAGGCTGGGGAACTCTGCCGGCAGGTGCTGGGGAGGAAGGGTCCTCAGCTCTAGGCCCGCCCCATGGCTCAAATGGGGCCCCAGCCACCCCCAGCCACCCCCACTTTGGAAAGCAAGAAACAGAGCTCAGAGAGGTCTCATGTGCTGTCATGGCTGAGCCACACATCCTGTCCTCTCCTCCCGCCTGGGCAGGCCAGTACTTGACTGGAGACTCAGAGGCTGTGTGAGCGCAGCACTTTCCTCCTCTGCTAAAAATGGTCTGGGCTCTAGGGGATGGGAAAGCAAAACTTTTAAAAGCCAGAACTCATATACAAATGTGAGGTGTTACCTAGGCCTGACTCTATTTGAGGCTCCCTCCAAAAGCCCCTTCTAAGGAGGGGACCCTCAGGGACCTGACACCACTCGTGCTCTCCCTGAGTCTCCAGGTCAAGGCCCAGCCAGCAGAGCAGGGGCGGGGCCAAGTGGCCCTGGACCAATGAGGAAGGAGCAAGGCCACACAGGCAGGATGGAGTGGCTAAGAGGGGAGCCAGAGAGAGCCAATGGGAGCAGGCCGGGCCAGCTAAAGGGGTCAGCCTTAGAAAAGGGACGGGTAGGAAGGACACAGGGTGGGTACGATGATGGGGTAGGGCCAGGACCATGCCATCCCCACCTCCTGCGGCTCCCAGGCTCTTACCTCCAGGCAGTACCGGCCCAGGTGGTTCCGGAAGACCTGGTGGGGCACCACACCACACTGTGTCCGCACAGACAGGCACCACTGGCCGCTGGCGCCAGGCTCAGGCCACAGTAGGAAGGCACCAACCACATCCCTCCGCAGCAGAGCGAGTGCACAGGCCCTGGGGCACAGGCAGTAAAGGCTTAAATTAGGACCCCCTAATCCAAAACCAGCCTCAAGCTGCTGGCCTGGGCATGGATGTAATAGCCCAAAGGCATGGAGGTAGCCCGAGGATTAAATAAATGCCCTTAAAAACACAGCACCTGACCTAACATGGCAGCTCAGTATAAAGAAGCTCTTAGGAACTTAAGGGGGCCTACAGGCCTGCCATGGTTGCACACACTTATGCCAGCACTCTGGCAGGCTGAGGCAGGAGGATGGCAAGTTTGAATCCAGCCCAGGAATTTCTCACCTCAGAACCCTGTCTCAAAATTTTAAAAATAAAAAAGAGCTGGTGATATAGCTCAGTGTGAAAGCCCTGGGTTCCACCCCAGTATGGCAAAAAAAAAAAAAAAAAAGACCCTATAAGTCCTTATTTGTTGGAAATTTCAAGACCCCATCAAGACAGAGGGCGAAAGAGCTGATGTCCAGGGCCAGCTAGCCCCTGTGACAGGCTGGGCACTAAGGGCTTTTCCTGATCATCTCATTGATCTCTCTACAGCCTGGGAGGGTGTCCCATTATACACATTTTACGTTTGAGAAAACTAAGGCCCAGGATGGAGAAGTCCCCGGCCTGAGGCCCCTGAGGCTGGAAGCACTGGGCCCATGCACAGGGGTGCGGACACATCAGGGTGCTGGAGATGTCCCATTTCTTTGCACACCCCGGGGACTGGGCATCAGGCCAGGCCAGGCCCTTCCTACCTGGAGAGGCCGGCAAAAGCCCAGATGTTCTCTGTCAGGCTGCCCTCGATCTCCACCAGGCACGGGGGCCCACCAGGACTGCGGGGCCACGCCTCCCATGCAGCAGGATCTATGGAGACCACCCAGGGTCAGAGGGAGAGAGGCCTCCCCTGACCAGCCTGGCCTACCACCTCGGCCCCTCACGCCTCTGTCCTCTCCCCAGGCCCCAACCCGCAGGCCTCGGCCCCGCCCCTGCAGACGGCCCACAAGCCGGCACCCCCGCTCACACCCACTCAGCAGTAAAGCTCGCACACAGCTGCACGGTCAGTGTGCAGGCCTGAAGCTCACACCAGGACGCACGCACACCCAGGCTGCTGAGGCGTGCACAGGCTGCACCCTGACTCACAGGACTCTCTCGCTGACAGCTGCAGCTGGGCCTCGTAGGTGCAGCCCCGGTAGGCCCCAGAGCGGATCACCTTGCTGCGAATGGCCTTCTTGCGCACCAGTGTGGGCGAGCAGTAGGGGTTCCCCAGGCGGGCGTGGCGGGCACTGCGGCCTTCCGACTCGGACAGCTCCTTCTAGGGCACCAAGAGGGGCCAGTGGGCAGGCAGACCCAGGCCCAGCTATGTCAGGCCAGGCAACACCCCTTAAAGCCCACCCCTCCACCATGACCTCCAAGCCCTCGCCCAATGGCCTTGTCCACGGCCCATCCCCGCCCGGGGTGCTGCATACCCCACTAGTGCCCCCTGGCTCCTCTGCTGGCAGCCGCCGCAAGGAGACCAGGGCATGGACGTTCTGCGTGAGCTGATTATGGCTGAAGGGCTCCCGCACCAGGGTAGCAGGGACCCCAGGGCTGGAGAGTGGCTTCGGGGACACGTCCCCTGCAGGCCCGGGGGAAAGGTCAGGCTGTGCCCGCTCTTCAGGGTGCTGCAAGAGGTAAGCGAGCTGGAAGGAGCGACACAGCAGCAGGTACAGAATCTGAACCTAGGGCAGGAGAAAGGCGGCTCAGCTGGAGGACACTCCCTGGGGCTCCCCAGGCACCTGCCTGCCCTCCAGGAGTGCATGCCACTCCCGAGCTTAGGGTGGTCCTCTTTCCCCTTGGGAAAACTTCTACTTGTCCCTCAGAACCTCCCCACCGCATGGTCTCCCTACCAGCCTTCCTTATTCATTTAGGGAGTCCCAAGCACCTACTTTGTGCAGTGCATCCTGCTGGGAGCACAGTCGTCCCCTGTGCTTCACCCCAGCACCTCCTGGGAGAAGTGGCCGGGGTCAGAACCTAGGCTCCGATCTTGGCAGCCACTCAGGACCACGGTGCAGCACGGCACCCTGCGTGCCTCAGTTTCCTCATCCCCACCTCCCTGTGTTCCTCTGAGGGGTGAAGGAAGTGGAACGCAAGCCCAGCAGCTATTTGGGGCCAGCGCATCCACTGTGCGGGGCAGCATGTTGGAATCCTGAGGTGCGGCCACCTGTAACCCCAGTGTCCAGCCCAAGGCTGGACATCCAACAGTGGCAGCAAATGCTTGCTGGACAGAACCACCCCAACCTCTGCTGCCTAACAGCTGTGGTTTACACTGGTCACACTGGCTCTGACTGCCAGATCTATCTGCCCGGGACTCACCCCACCCGCCCGCACAGGGGCATGCACTAGGACAGTCCAAGCCCTGGCCCCAGGCACTGTGCTCAGGGAACTCGAGCTTAGCGACAGACTGAGGCTGGAGTGGTCCTGTTACAGGCTCTGCAGGCAGGCCCACCTAGGAGAGGCAGAAGGGCTTCACAGGGCTTCACGGGCACTGGGGCTGAGCCCTGAGGCATGGAGGTGAGGAGGGCAGGGCAGGCATTCAGGTAGAGAATGGCATCAGCAAAGGCCTGACAGGTGCCCTGCAAGTTTGTGCTCTGGCCCCCAGGAAATGCCAAGGCCACCAACCTGTATGGGGCGGAGGAGTCCTTAGTGGGCAAGGTCAAAGAAGGACTCAGTATGGTACGGGGTAGGTGCCCAGAGGGGCTCAGGCCAGCTCTGCCAAGCAGAGAGGCCTCTGACCCTGGGCCACTCAGCCTCGCTGTGTCCCCTGCCTTGGGCCCTGGGTACCTCTCCAGGCTGGCTGCCCACAAAGAGGTGGCAGAAGAGTCTGCTGGGTGGGCTTCGTGGGTTCCGGGCAACAAAGGCAAACTGGCAGCGGGCTGGGCTCCAGGTAGAGTAGAGGATGCGCCGCAGGCCATGGGCCATCAGGAGTGCCTGGGAGCAGAGTTACCAGACCACATCAGGCTCCTGACCTGTATGCCTGACATCCAAGCAGGGCTACTTCATCTCTGGCCCAAGGCTGCCCCTTCCTCAGCCTCCACGCTGGGCAAGGCTGATGTCTCTGATGTCAGAGGCCAGGAGTGGGGCCTGGAGATTTTTGAAGGGCAAGGGTGAGGGGGACCATCCAGGGGACTCTCAGAGCAGATGGACAGGATGGGGGCTCAGCTGCGCCCCAAGAGCACACACCTGTGCCTGTCCAGCCTCCCTGCACCTGCGCCGGCTCCTCCTACCTCTCCCTCCCCGCTGTAGATCTTGAGACCCTGCAGGCTGAATTTCAGGATGACTGCTCGGCGTCGGGGACAGTCCTGGGTGGAAGAGGGTTGGTGGAAGCTCGCATTATTCCCCACTCGCCAACTCCACTCCCCTTGCCAAGATACACAGCCCCAGGCACTGGATGCTTAGAAGTTGGGAATACAGGTGGCTCCTAGCAGAACCCCCAACCAGGTCACAGCTCCCACCCCACCTATGGCTTCCAGCTGTGGGGTGCACATCCAGGCAGCCCCAAGGAAGTTCCAGGCATGACAGCCAGGGCTACAGGAGCCTGGGTGTAAGTGCTCTCTGCCGCCCCCTGCCCCCCTTTATGAGAGGGAAGGGGCTGCATCTGGTCTCGTGGCTGTGCTCCCACGGGGATGCGCCCCCTCACCTTCAGCGCCCACAGCTGCTGCCGCACCAGCCACACGCCCTCCTGCGCATCCAGGTCATCCACAGGGAAGGAGCCCACATACTGCAAGGCACCGGGTGGGAGGGAGCAAGGCAGGGGAATCGGGCTGCTTCCTCCCAACCCAGCACTGACACACAAATGCTTGGCCCCCAAAGAAGCTGGGGCAGGGCAGGGCAGGGCAGGGCAGGGCAGGGCAGGGCAGGGCAGGGCACCACCTCTGGAGCACAGGCTCTGCCGCTCTCCCAACAGGTGACCTTTGTCAGGTCACACAAGCCACCTCTCTTGCCTGCAGGGCACACTGCAAGGTCTGAGTCAGAGAGGGGACAGGGAGGGAGGTCCTCGACCCCACATGCTCACCACCCCCAGGGCCAGCTCCAGCGACCACCCGACAGGGCACACCCACCTGGGCGAATTTGGTGATGCACCTGGGCCGGTAAAGGGTGGGCCCACAGTCCGAGGCCCTTCGGCCGCCCGCCCCAGCCCTCTGCATGGCCCCCAGGGTGGCCGCTTTAGGCTCCGCAGAGGGAAAGCTGCAAAGGGCAGGAGCAAGCTCAGTTTTCAGGCAGGCAGGGCTCAGTGCTCCCCAGTCAGAGCCTGGCCAGTTCACCCATTCATTTATCCCACTAATCCTCACTGAGCGCCCACTATGCACCACACAGTGTCCTGGGCACTGGAGATGCAGCCCTGAAGAAGCGGCGAAGGCTGCCTCCCTTCACAGGCCGACATTCTCATCAGGGAGAAAGACAGGAAGCTACCCGAGAGCTTCGATGGAGATGAAGCAGGCAGAGGACAGGAAGGCCAGGTGGGGGACGCTGGGGACGAGGTCTGGGTAAGGATCTGGGTGTGCAGGTGAGGGCGTGCAGCTTGTGCAAGTGCTCCATGCTGGAACAGCGGAGCTGACGCCAACCCCTGGGGGTGGAAGTGAGGGGTGCAGATCTGTAATCAGCCTGTAACAGTGCTGGGTATGGGCCTGTAGTCCCAGCTACTAGGGAGGCTGAGGCCAGAGGCTCACTTGAGTTCAGGAATTTAAGGCTATCTTGGGCCAAAGAGCCAGATCGCATCTCAAAAAGAAAAAGAGGAACCAGGGGAAGGAAGGAGGCTGGGAAGGCCCACCAACAGGGATGGGGTGGGGCGGAGCGGTCAGAGCTGCATAATCTGCAAAGGTACAAAGGAAGGCAAGCAGCTGGAGCCTTTAGGCAGACTTTGCCCCAACAGCAGGCTGAATCCAATTTAGGATCTGCCTTAAATGTCAGACGAGGAAATTTAGGCCCTGCCCTGTGGGCAGCAGGGAGCCACAGCCGGCTATAGTGCAGGAGCAGTCCGTGGGGGTGGCCATGAGCTGATGAGGCTGGGGACCCGCTTCACAGGCTGCTGCCTCATTTGGGCCATCCTGACTTCAGCCCATCTCCTAAAGCCCCAACCCCTTTAGATCATGAAAACCAGACAAGGCACTGGTACTGAGGATGTGGAGAAGGTAGACAGCTGCCCTGCTCCTTCCGGGAGCCCCTGCCCACTAGTGAGGATAGGAAGACACTTCCCTTCTGAAATGGTCCTCAAGGGCGGGGGAGCATTTACTCCCGTTTAGAGCTCTGAACCCCAGCTGGTGCTCAATAAATATGAAACGAATGCATCTGGGACCAGCGATAATGAGAAAGAACGGCCGAATGCCTCTGCCATGGTCCCCAGGGACTCAGCTCCCCCAGCCTTTACCAGGGCCAATTTATAAGCTCCCTCTGCCCTATTCTGGCCGGCTCTCTCACCAGCCGACTTGTAATCACTGACTCAGATCAGGGGGTTGGGTCCAAACCCCTGCGACTTCGGGCCAGCTGCCTTGCCGCTCCTGCCATTTCATCAGCAAACCTGGAGGAATGTGAGGAGCAGGTACTCAGCACAATGCCAGCCAGGCTCGGGCAAGGGCTCAGCAAACACAGTCTCACAGGGGACACTCGGGAGGGAACTCAGGAAGACAGCAGGCTCTGGTCACTTTCAGTCCCCTCCTTGCTTAGGCCACACCTAGGAGACTACTCAGTCTGTGAGCACAAGGCCGGGGAGGCCAGCCTGGGGGCCAGGAGAGGGCCGGGATCAGGCAGGGCCTGGCAGGGAAGGGCGCGGCCTGGACATGCTGCTTGCAAGGGACACTGTTAGCACCAGCGGGAACCGATCTCTGCCTGCCCATGACCACCGTCCAAGCCCAGCTCAGGTCAGGGTGCAGGTGCCGGCAGCTATCCATGCCTTTCAATGAGTGGCCAGCACAGGGAAAGCTGGAAAATAAAGACTGCAAGTCCCCTTGAAGCCTTCCCTGGACCCCCATTCTGTCCCCTCCTGTTTTTCTGGGCCATTGCAGCCTCCACTTTGTCTTTTTTTTTTTTTTTTTTTGTACTGAGAATCGAACTTGGGACCTTGTGCTTGCCAGGCAGGCATTTGCACCACTGAGCTATATTTATGGCCCCCAGCCTCCACTTTCTGATCCTGATCATTTTTCACATCGTGTCCTTTCCCTATTGTATATTTGATGTTCAAATAAAATGAAGTTAGGCCCAGGGATTTAGCTCAGCAACACAAGCACCTGCCTGGCAAGCACAAAGTCCCAAGTTCAATTCCCGGTATCAAAAAAAAAAAAAAACCAAACCAACGTTAGATGCACAACTGACACTACAGACACGTGACATCTGTCTCAGGTGAGGAGAAGGGGCTCCCAGAGAAGCTGCCTTTTAACTTGATAATCACACCACCGGGGTGCTCCTGGCAGGGGGGGACAGGGTGGGGAACAGGATGGAAAGACCACTTGGGACAGAAGCAAGACCAGAGGGGGCCAGAGGACAAATGCAAAAGAGATAAAGAGAGGAGGAGGAGGGAGCAATGGGGAGCAGATTTCACACCCTGCCTGTGCAACACACCCCCTCAGGCACCCAGCAGGTGAGAGACAGAAGGAGCCACCAGGGTCAGCACTCACGTCACTGTCACAGGCGGACAGTCTCCTCACTCCAGTCCCAGAGCTGCAGCCAAAGGCCCTCTGTGCTGCACACCGTTCACCTTCACCCGACCCCACCTCATCCCTCTGGTCCTCAGCCTCCCTGGAAGCGGGAATTTTCTTAGCTTCCCCACCTCCCTCCCAAGCCTGAGGAGCACAGTGCATTTCACTCCCAGGGCTGCAGTTGGGGGTTGTCTCTGGGAGCCCTGGAAACATACGGCTTGCACCCCCTGATCTCTGGGACCGGAGAGAAGTTCTACCTAAGAGCCTGGCTGGTCAGCACCTCCCTAAGGAACACCATTGGAATGCGATCAGGCGCGCGCCGGTCCCTCTGAGGTTTTCCAGGAGGCTCTGCGTGGAAGCAGGGGACTGCACAAGTCAGTCGCCCTTCTTGAGCTCACGTGCCGGGCCCTGTGCTGCACCGTCCAGAGTTACACCGCGTCACTGGAGGGGCCACCTTTCCGCATCCTTGGAGACTTCCCAACCTTCAGAGCCCGCGCTCAGCCCGGGGTCCCCGGCAGGAAGGCACAGCTTGCTGGAGAGGAGACGCTCCGGGCAAGCTCAGGACTCTTCCCCTAGGCCCTCCTCCCTCAGGAAAGCAGGCGCCCACCTGGAGTCTGCTGGCTGCCAGTCTGCCCGGGGGAGAGGAAGCAACCATAGGCGGGCACAGCTCAGATCGGACCCTCTAACAGCTGCTCTCCCTCGCCGGCGGCCTCCGCGGCCCCCGCCACATGCTCTGGGGCTGCTCGGGCCAGCAGCCTGGCTCCCACAGTCACAACACACCCACTACGCCACCTCCGCCTGCTCCGGGCCCTGCAGCCAGGGACGCGGATTGTGGGATCCAAAAGGTTGGCCGCTGTGACCCCCGCGCAATCAACCTCTCCCCCTCTCTCCTCCTCCAGCTCCGTCGCTAGAGTTGCGCACTGATCTTTTCCTCCTGGGGACGAGGACCAGGTGGACACGCTCGCAGCCCTCCCGGAGCACCCAATGCGGGGGACTGGGGACATTCATGGGGTCTGAGCGACCCGGGGCGAAACGTGGGCATGTACGGGGAGAGCGCGGCTCCACGCGTGGGGTCGAGGCCGCTGCCCC